ACGCTTTATAACTTTTTTGAATGAACTATCTTTAAAATATTCTTTGTCATTTTCTGTCATACGAAGGGATGTCCTAACTAATGCAAATATTGTTGGTGTAAACAGAACAGTGTTGTCACCAGATATTGGCATGTTAAGTTTCATTAGACGCTAAAATATAAACAATGATTAAAATTACAAAAACAATGGAACAAGTTGATTGTTCAATCAACTAGACAATAAAATAAAATCAACAAATCAATGATTTTTCCTGGTTATTAAAGTGCTTCAAGAAAACCTAATGGTCTTGTCACAAAGTACCACGAAAAAATAAGAACTATTTTGTGTCTTATTATTACCGCTACCATAACTACTTTTTTACAGGTACAAACCTTATATGCTAAAGATTTAGGACACTTTTTCCCAAAGCCTACTGGAGGCTGCATATCGCACATGAGTTGATACACATCTTCATGAGGAATTCGACCTCTAAAAAGAATAAAAAACAACAAACTAATATATGCTTATACCAAAACAAATGTTTTATGGCCTAAAAAGTATAAAACAAAATGTAAATGAGATAAAGCTCAGAAAATAAGATTAAACTATGAGACAAAACTAGAGAAACGAGATTTAAGCAAATAAAAACAAAACAAAACACTTACAAAGCAGACGGATCATATAAAGACCAAACTCTTACAAATTCATCCATGTGGTGTGGACCAAGTATAGATTCATCTCTTGTCAAATAATCAAAGTTGTCCATTATCACAGCAACAAATAAGTTAAGTAGCTTCATGAAAGTGGAAAATATATATATATATATATATATATATATATATATATATATATATATATATGTATGTATATATATATGCACACACGTACAGATATATATATGCATATATATATATATATATATATATATACATATATATATATATATATATATATATATATATATATATATATATATATATATATATATATATATATATATATATATATATACATATATCTCTCTATATATATACACACACACACGCACACACAGCCTGAATTAACGTTTAAAATTGCCACTTTATGTTTTTTTACCATATAAAAGCCTAAATTTTTTATTGTAATTTTTTATACCATACATTTTAAGTTGGTAAAAACTAAACAAACATATATATCAACAGAATTAATGGTAAGTTGAATATATATATTATATTGTTAGTGAATTGTATAGTAATTAACAGGATTGTATGTGGCAAAAACGTGTTATAACATAAATTGACATCTCAACTCAATCCCTTCGTGCTACACCCCATTGACAAGTTGACTGTTGCTAAGTATGGGTGTTTTATTGCATTGTTCAGGTTTTTGATGTATCCTTTTATTATAACATTAAAAAAAGGTAATGGTTTTTACTAAAATACATTATACCTAACTTTTATAGATTTTTATTTAAATTATAGTTGGTAGCCTTTAGTTAGCAAATACTTTTACGTTGTTGATTTCAAAAATGGGTTTAATGTTATGTTTTTATCCTTTGGGTGGGTTTAGTTTTATTTTAATATAGTTTAAACAACTACCTAATATGAATACAATTTATATGTATAATATAAATATTATAATATAAATGAATAAAACATATATATACTTTAAGTATATAGTTAGTACATGATTGGTGATTGCTTTAGACATGGCTGAATCAACAATATCGAAAAGAAGACAACACTCACAAAATATTTGGTTAATAGGAAATTCTATCGGTGCTCTGAGCCAAACAATTATTCCTACAAATGGGGATGTTTTGAAATTATTTTTTCACTTTAAGAACTGTGAATTTAAAACTGAGAAATCAATAAAATCAAATTCAATTGTTGTTGATGCAGTATGTGAAGCAGTTCTAGAAGTCTGGCATAAGACCGGTATTGAAACCCAAAGGAAAGATAAAATCAAAGAAAAAATAACTAAATTGCCCATTGAATACAATTTCATGGGTAGACACAGATCCTCTTTTCAGAATCTGTGTCTACCCATGAAAAAAAGAAAATTGCTTCAACAATTCTGAAAAAAATAAACGATGAAAATATGGAAACTGGAGTGCCAGTAATGCTACAGACGAATCAAAACGTGAAAGTGAGCTCTCTAATTGGAAAAAATTCCAGGCTTCTTTTTGATCTTTTGAAAGTAAATACTAAGTGGCTTTCACTATACCCCGATGAATGGTCAAAAAATTATGAGTTTAACTACATATCTGGGATATTAAAGGACCTAAAAGTTGTCAACGATTTTAGCAGAAAGGTCAGCTAAACTAGTTACTGACTTTAATCAAAGTCTAACATGGGATGAAAATCAAAAGCAGTGCCTTTTCCAGGAAGTGGAGCAGCATAGAAGGAACATACCAAAATTTGATAAAGCATCAATGTTGATGAAAAAGTAGAACTCTTTTTAATAAATATGTATGTAAATGCATGAATATAACTCAGTTGGACTTATTGGAACATCAGTTATCAACATTTTCTTTTATAATTGAAATACATATTTTTACAATTTATACAGTTTATATTTTATTATAATTTTTCTTTTGTAAATTTTATCTCGCTTTTCCAAGTCTAAATATGTTTAGTGAATTTGAATCTAATATAGAAGCATTTTAATTTAATACCTGTAACATTGTTTCCAATTGATTAGTTATATAGAAATAATAAGAAAATTAAAGTTTTCTATAATTTTGTTTTGTTACTCATTTCATTAACTAGTAATTACTTGAATCTCAAACTTTTTATTTTTTATTTTGCATAAAGGTCTAAATCAATTAATTAATCATTGTGTTCTAGTAGCAATTTTTATGTTTAGATTCATAGTTGTAATCAATTAAAAGTATTAATTAATGTTCTGCATTATTATCCCAAATTCATAAGATTTAACTTTAATAATTCATGATAACTTTAAAAGGCTGGTGGCAAATCAGCAGGTATCGACCTGAAATTTGAATAATGATTATATCTTATCAAGTCAAATGGAAAAATTACCAGGGAGCTTGTATTTTCAAAAAAAAAAAATTTCTGAACACCCTAATATATGTATGTATGTATATATATATATATATATATATATATATATATATATATATATATATATATATATATATATATATATATATATATATATATATATATATATATATATATATATTAGGTTGTCCCAGGAAAAAAAAATTATGCCTAAAGTCAATCCTCCTAACTTGGTCCCAGTAGACCACCATAAAAATATCTGAGCTCAAAGTTACTGTTAAGTCCAAGAAGGTGTTTTAGAAAAAAATTGCATATAAATTTTAATGAGTTTTTTTACATTTATTAATTGAAACTCCGGTTGTATTCAATATTTTTAAAAATGATCAAATTAACTTAAAGTTAATTTTCCAAAGCATTAATTCTAACTGTTATACCTACTGCAACTTTAAAGAAACTTTATAATAATTTTATAATTATGAAATTTTTTCAAATTTTTTCAATTATGAAACATAATTGCATTGTTTTAAAATGTTTTTAAAATGAAATACTATGGAATACAAAAAAAAATTAGGTGGTGCAAGAATTATTAAACTTTTGTTAGAAAAAAATATATTTCATAAACAAAAATATAGCCATAAAGAGCTTTTTTATTTAAATATTTTTCAAGTCTTGTTTAATGGCATGTTTAGGCACATTCTGTCAGTTGTCTAAAACCACCATCTAGGTGTTTAGGGGCCAGACTTTGGAATGTGTCCTGCCAATGAAATTCTGCACCAATTTGATGTGTTTTTCAGCCATGTCATTAACAATTGCTAATTGACGTACACTGGACACAAATGTCTTGAAAGATCTACTGTTGAGATTTTTCTCCAAAGCTGACATGCCTTCTTTCCATGAAAGAATGCCATTTTTAATTATACCAAGATCGAGAAAAAAGAAATAAGACTCCTAAGAAAAAAGTCTGAGAGCTTTAAGAGGAGACAGACCTGTGTAAAAGGTTCTGGTTGTTCTTTTTCAAAAGTGCTCTTCTCTGGAACATCATATTTTATCAATTCCACAAGAATATCCATCCTCAATCCTTGGGTTCCAAGAGCAAACTTAGGTCAATCAAATTTTTCAATGTTGTTCAGTGTATTTATACCTTTTTCAATCTAAGACCAAAGATCTTGATGTTTTTTGTACAAGGATCGAATGGGTCCCTTTGATTCTTCCTTTAGTTTCATCAGAAGGCAAATCTTGGTTGAATCATACAACTTTTTTTCTTTGCAGTATGAGTCTCAAAGTCTGAATCATAATCTGTTCCCCTACACCCACTGGTGTAGTGGAACATCACCCACTGGAGAATTCCTGCACAAAATTTCTCAAAGCTTCTTCTTCTGACGCTTTTTCCAGTAATTGACTTAAGCTCAATGTTTGCTCTCAGTCTCTTCTCTAGTTGCTTATCTTCTACCATTTTTCTCAGCAGGTTTTTCATCCTTTCATCGCTTTCTGCAACTAGTTCAGTAAATGTTTTGTGATTTTTGTAGGACATCTTGACCATGTTCCCTTTCAAACATATCTTCAAAAAAATGAAACCTTCCTTTACAGCCTCTTTACTCCTTCTAGGATCTTGGCTAATTAACTTAAAAATTTCTTCCTTGTGTATAGGAAACAAAATATTGGCCTTGTCTAAGAACTCTTGAGTGTGTTGGCTCATGGCTTCTTTCCTCATCTCTAAGGTTCTCATTATTAAAACTTTAGTATACTGGGTATACAGAGCAATAATTTTAGTCCTAAATTAAAAAGTTATAACTTTAAAAAAATGTCAACATTTTAAAATATATTATAAAAACTTATATTTAAATATATTTTAAAGATAAATTTTTTACAGAATACTTAGTTTTTATGAGAAGAGATTTTTTTATTTAACTTAATGTTCACTGATGAAAAAATTTTCATCAAAACCTGCCTTGTTCCAAATATTAACCAGCTCTCTTATTATGCACACATTTAATATTACTTTTCTGCTATCAGTATAGCACATACGACCACTGCATTTATGCTTGACTGTACTCGGCAGAGAACATCCAATTTTGGATGACAATGTTTTGCAGTTGCATAGTTTTGTAGTTTTTTCTTGAAGTTTTACAAGCATTTTTATGCTTTTTTTGTTGTGATGGTTGTAATCATAACAAAAAATCCAATCCTTAAAAACAACAAATAAAACAACCCAATCAATGATGTAGGAAAAAAATACAAAATATACCAAAAATACAAAAACCATGTATTTTATGCTAAAATATGCACTATGACATTATCCAAATTCTAAGTTATAGATAAACAATACGGTTTTTAATGCTACACAACAGGACTGTAAATAAGCATCAAAACACATTTATACAACCCTCACAACTTTAAAACCTTGCTTAAAAGCATAAACTTTAAAAGGTATGATAAAATGATTTTTTTAAATAATATCTTTGCTTTAAAGTATTTTTAAATAGTTAAAAAAAGAGTAATGGAATTTAGTGTGTGTTTTCATAACTTTTTTGATTTCTTTTTTTTTTTCCTCTTCCTTACAGAATTGCCTATTGCCCATTTTATAGGCTTATAACTTTTTAACCCCTAGAGGTTGTAAAAAATTGATGAATATAAATTTAGTTAAGAATAGCAAAAAAATCATTTCATCAACTTGTTGCTCTAACATTTGGGGCAGGGGGATAATATTTTAGGGCTTATTTGTTCCCAGCCTCCAATCATTGCAACTTTTTAAAAAGCAACATTATTTGACATAAGTATAAACATACAAATGTTTGAATTTTGCTCCATGTTAGCTATCTCAAACACCAAAAAATGCTGGATCTGTTAATCCCACAGATCTCTTATTTCTGAAGCAAATTTGCTTCAGAATTCAGCGTTTAAATGCTGCTAATGTACAATATATATATATATATATATATATATATATATATATATATATATATATATATATTTAAGTTGATTAAGGTGCCCCAAAAAGTCCTTATGGTTTTATCACAGAGTACCGCGGAAGAGCATTTAATAGGAAGTTCACGCCTCCTTCCCAACCGATGTCGCAAAACTTGCCCAGAGGTGGGGTTCGAACCACGGATCTTACGTTTCTGAGACAAGTGCGCTACCACTGCGCCACGGCTATATATATATATATATATATATATATATATATATATATATATATATATATATATATATATATATATATATATATATATATATATAAATATATATATATATATATATATACATATATATATATATATATATATATATATATATATATATATATATATATATATATATATATATATATATATATGTATATATATATATATATATCAAGAAAATATGTATCAAGACAAATATATCAAGAAAATATGTAAAAATAATTTTTAAATGTTCTTTTAAGGTTCAGAGTTTGCAGTTAGGTATTGGATCAAAATTTAAATAATTAGAACCATTCAACAATGAGAAAGCGAGAAAGCAGTCGCCATAGCTAGCTCCTTGAATCGACTCTTCTTTTTTTTTAATGGTTCTTTACAAAAACTCTTTATTTAAAGTAGCTTGTGAAGCTTCTCCAAGCTCATCACACACTCTACATTATTTTGAATAAGTTTTACTGTAAGCACAGTAAAATTGAATTTTTTTTTACAAAATATTTTTCTTAAAACAAGAAATACGTTTGTCAATAGATTTACGATTTTGCTGTGAGTTCTGATAAGTTGTTAGCAACTTTGAAAGCTTTTAAAAGTTTTGGAATTCATTGTATCCAAAAAGTCTGAAGGAGTCTCATCTGTAAGTATTTTTTCAAACTATGACCTAAAAAATCAAAAATTAACCAGCAGTCTAATCAAATATACAACTCAAGAACTAGCCACTGGTCTTTATCAACAAAAACTGCTTTCAGAAGGATTTTAGCTTTTATTCTATTCGTTTTTACATCTTTTTGGACCTCCCTTTGTTTTTGAATACAGAACCTTTTACCATTTTTATATTGAAATCTTGGTCAAAAGATGCTAAACAAGATTTGAATTTTCACCTCTGCAGCAGGCTCAATATACATCTGCCAATAGCCTTGCTGATCTTAAAGGTGTAAATTAAAAATAATGCAACGTAGATAAAATAAGGTTTAAAATGACACTGCTCAAAAATTATTACATTTAATTTTGACAAGATAAAATCAAACTGCTATTTCTATTAATTTCATTTTTATTATATTTCTACTGATTTTATGAAAAGTCTGTCATTGGAAAAAAAAATTGGTTTAGAGTTACTTTCTTTGTGTTTTACATCTGATTTTAAACAATTTTGAAAACCATTGTTTTTAAACAATTTGTTACTTTATGACGAAAATTATTCTTAAATAATAATAATAAAATATCTAAACTTAAAAAATTAAATTTTTAAAATTGCAGAATCAGAAAAGTCACAGGTCAAAAATCGCAATGCTCTGGAGAGAAAAATGTAGTCAGCCATGCTATTGATCTCTGAGTATTTTATTTCTCAGAATATAAACCTGCTTGATTTTAGAGAAGTGCAACTTGAATTTTATGAAATTCAAGGCCTGTTAAACAGCTCCATATTTGTTAATTTTCATCTAATGGTCTAATTTTTTTGTGCAAAGATTATTATGCAAGTTCATAATAATCTTTGCACTTCTCAAAAATAATTTTAAAATTAAAAACTTATACATTTTGTTTTTGCAAAAAGGTATTTTAAAGTGAAGTAGTTTTATCCTTACCTTACTATTTTTTAACCTTTTATGGTTTTATGATATAAATAGTTTATTCTCCAGTTTAACAGTTTTATTTACAGCTACGGCTATATAAAGCTCTCCAACATGATGGCAGGAGGTTAAAAAGAATAATAGTCGGCCAGGAAACTTAGCTAATCTTGTACAAACCCCTTTTAAATAGCCAGGGGATAAAGTGGTTAAACTGTATGAGATCAAAAGCATCCAACAAATTTCTAAATGCTGCGTATCGGGCCTCAACCCTATTGTGTTTTAAAACCACATTTTTTAATTTCATAATGAATTTGTGCATTTTTAAAATACCCCCAGTTACCAAAAATAGTAGTAATAAAAATATACACAATCGATATAGATAAAAAACCTTTCATTATTTGTAATGATGTAATTATATAGTTAATGATTTGTAAATTCTATTTGCAACGATTGTTTGAAAATGTCTAAAAAACTCAAAAAATGTTAAACTCTCAAGGAGTGGTGCAAGTATAAATAGTCATCCAAAATAAAAAATAAATTTTTTTTATTGATAAAACAATTCCTTGGAAATGTTTTATGACACTCCACGTATTAAAATTTGTTCATAAGGGTCAAAATGGGATATATATATATATATATATCCCATTTTGACCCTTATGAGCATATATATATATATATATATATATATATATATATATATATATATATATATATATATATATATATATATATATATATATATATATGTATATATATATATATATATTAGGGTGTGCCATGCTGCCCCTTATATTCTAAAAAAGATCTGTTCATATTCATAAAACTTGCTATTGGTTCTCACAAGCAACTTGATTAAATTTTTTCAAAATTTTATTGGATTTAGAGGGAGCACAAGACCCTTATACACACTTACCGGGTCTCTATTATTACAAAAAAAAAAGGGTTTTTAAAAAAATGTCATGTTGGGTCTCAAAAGAAGCAAAATTATATAAAAATTTCAAAAATAATAATTATTTTATAAAAAAATAATTATTATTTAAGATTTTTTTGAAAATATTTATCAAAAAATTACACTTCTTTTATTTTTAGTTATTAAAGGTCTTTTTTTTGCAATAAACTCTAAAATAATAATTTTTTAAAATAAAATCATTATTATTTTTGAAATTTTTATATAATTTCACTTCTTTTGAGACCCAACATGACCTACTTTCAAAAAACCATTTTTTTAAAATAATATTAGGGACCCGGTTAGTGTTCAAGGGTCCTGTCCTTCCTCTAAATCCTTTAAAATTAAAAAAAAAATTTAACTAAGTTGTTTGTGAGAACCAATAGCAAGTTTTAAGAATATGAAAAGATCTTTTTTAGAATATAAAGGGGCGGCTGGGAAACCCTAATATATATATATATATATATATATATATATATATATATATATATATATATATATATATATATATATATATGCATTTATATAAAGCATAAAAATTTATAACACATAAAATAATAAAATTCATCAGATTATGTGACAAAACTAACCAAAAACGCACAAAAGAAATAAAAAGAGCAGAAATAGAGAACTGCTGCAATTGTTGAGCCACATTTAACTGGGGAGGCACTACCATTCAATGGTAACTCACACTTTGCATGATCAAAGCAATCCATCATTATTAAATGCCACCCTTCACCTGTGCCACACCTAAAAATATTTTTAACAATAAATTTTTAATAATAAAGAACTTGAAAGTACAAACTAAGATGCCCTAAATATACTTTCAAGTTGTGATGTTTTTTTATTAAAAGTATATATGAAAAGGAAGCTTTATAATAATATAAAGTTTACTTAAAAAAAAAAATGTTTAATACCTAAACAAAACTCCAAGAGAACTGAAAAAACCTTTAAAGTTATTGTACTCATTTATTTGTCTAAGATTATCGTTAGCTATGCGACTAAATAACTAAAAAAAAAATTAATAAATAAATTTGTTGAAACAACATTAAAAAATATTTTTTAAAGTTTACTATTTACCATTACACACACAAGCAAATTCTGGGTTAGTGGTAAAAAAAATGATAAACGGAAAAAATACCTGCATTCCTATTACAGCATAGATAAAAAATAACATTGCAATTAAAAGCATAATGTAGGGCATCGCCTAAAATTAAATGTTAAATCAAAATTATATTACAATAGACTTATAATATAAGTAATAAATATAATATATAATGAATAAAATAAATGTATATTATACTTTCAGTACAAACATAATAACTGTATACTTAAAAAATCATCAATCATCATCATCATCATCATCATCATCATCATCATCATCATCATCATCATCATCATCATCATCATCATCATCATCATATATATATATATATATATAATAAATATTTATTGAATTCTACTTATGTACATAATAAGTATTTTTCTTTCCATGTGTCAATAGTAAAAGGAAAAACTAGGTAAAGGTCTAAAATATAAATCAAAATTTGTTATAAAATGTTTTTAATGGAAAAAATATTATATCTTTGATTTTCTCTATCGAATATTTTTGGTATCTTTAAAGTATCTCTATTCAAGATGGGCTTGAGATTATTAGTTCGATACCAGCTTCTATTATGCATTAAAAATAATTATTTTTTTTTATACATATTAAAAAATTGTTGTATTTTATGTTGTAATAATAGTTATAACATTGTTTTCACCATACTTTGATTTTTTCAATATGTAAGCAAAAACTTTTGGAATTTACAATTTAAAATTAATTAATGGTACTTATTATAATAATTTGTTTTACAGTTGCCAAGAGGTATTTATTATAATAATTTGTTTTAAAGATGTCAACATACCTTTTGATGCTACTATAGCCTGTTAAGAAGCATAAGGCAATTGTTAAGGCAATTGAGTTTCTTTACAAGCCTTTTCACTCTTATCTGACATTGGTTGAACAGTTTTATATTACTTGTTATAATAGAATTTTCAAAGTAAGAATTTTCAACGTCTTTTGTTTGTTGGAATCAAAAGTAAAAAAATGTTTTCTGAGTGATTTTCTGTTTATATATTGTGATTAGCGTCATCAAGTATAATGAAAAAAAAGTCATTACAAAGAAAAATGTTGAAATGTTTCTAAAAATCCTAAACAAACAAAATCCTTCCATAAAATACTCTGTTGAACTAAAAACCATCAAAAACAATTTAATTTTTTAGATATTACAAACACAATTCAGGTAGTTTATGCGTTTCAAATACATCAAAAAGAAGCAATTACTAATATACTTAAACCTAACTCAAACATCAATCCTAATATTATCACTGGCGTATTCAAAGGGTTTTTATGTCGCACAAAAAGAGTATGCTCTCAAAAATATCTGCAACAAGAAATTAATTTCTAATAGAAATATTTGTTGAGAACAAACACAATAAGAACAATAAGAACTAATATTGCCAGAGACTACATATATATATAAAAAAAAGACTAAAAAACAAAATTATCAACCAATGGACAACCAACCATTTATAAAGTTACCAATTGATACTTATTGTTGGTACCAAACTTAGGAAAGAACTTAGGAAGCAAAATATAAAAGTTAAATCACAAAACATAAAAGTTAAATCACATCAGTTCCAAATTTAAACAGTATATTCTACAACATCAAGACAAAACCTCCTCTAAATACAAACCCAGGCAACTACAAACTCAAATAGTTATGCAGTTCTATATACATTGACAAAACTAAAAAAAAATTATATCAAGATGTATTGAGCACCAGAGAAATAGTATAAAAAAAAAAGACCAGTTCAGGTGCTACTGAACATTACAAATTATGCCAAGGTACTTTTTACTGGTTGTATCCCAAAACCATATCTATTGTTTCTGAGTATCGTGTTCAAAATATTTGAAAATCGTTTGAAATAAACAGAGCTAAATTATGACAAGAGTTGACGGTGATAATGTGAAAAAGGCTAAGGGTCCATTTTTTATTAGATTAGTTGGCATCAACATTTGAAATACCTTACTTTTTAATGCTCTTTTTATTATCTTTTTAATGGTTTGCTTTTATTATACGTTTTTCTTTGTAACAATATTTATTATACCTGATGACACTCATCAATCATAATTAATTGCAAGGTTTTCGCAAATGACAGATGTGTTTTTTAATAGTGAAAAGAAAAAAATGTAAACTTAAGAAAAGAAAAACAAAGAAAAAACAACTACGAAAAGAAAACAAACAAAAACAATGATTAGAAAAGTGAAAATATAAGGAATATTTTATAAAAAGTAAAAATCACTTGCCACAAAGTAAAAATCATTAAAAAAGCAAAAAAACAATAAGAAATACGACAAGTAAAAAAAAAGGAAAAAAACAAACAAACATCAAAATATTAAAAAGAAAAGAAAAAAAAAAAAAAAAAAGAACAATATTTTAAGATTTTTTAAAATTATCTATCATTTGTAAGTACTGTTTGTAACTTTTATTCATTTTATTTCTTATTTAGTTTATTTTTAAATTTTAGCTTATTTTTAGTTTTACTTTTTTCATAAAGTTTTCTGTAAATTTTATGTACGGATTTTTTAAACTCGTTTTTAATTTTTTTCAACTATTTTTTACAATTTATTTCAACTAAAAGTAGTTTTTTTAACTACTTTTACTATGCAAGAGTTTCTTGTATTATTGCTGTTTTTATCTGTTTGCTTTTTTTTTTTTTTTTTCTTAGTTATTATTAGAGTAGCTATTATTAGAAATTGTAAAAGTTAATTTTTTGTTTGCGGTTTTTTGTTTGCATTTTTTTAATTATTATTTGTTATTTGTTTTAGGTAATAAATCACTATTATAATATTACTTACAAAGTTTTCATTTTGGTTATAAATGTTATAAATATTAATCATTTTCAATTTCTTTACAATTAATGTTGCTTTTATTTAAAAATACTTTCAGTAAGTTTTTTACTGTTTGTAACTTTACCTATCTGTATATATAATATTTTAGAAATCTATTAATGATTTATCATAATTTATTATTTTTATTATCGGTGGTGATAATTTTCCATTATTATCATTATTTTTGTCATCATTTTCTTTTTTTTTATCACTATCATTGTTATTTTTATTATTTTTGTTGTTATTATTATTAATATTATTTGTATCATTAATATATTTGATATCATTTTCATTAGGTTTTTAATTAAATTTGGTTTCAAACTAATTATAAATATCCTTGATTTTTAGACTTTCATTAGAAAATATATGATTGATTGATTGGATTACAATAGATCAGCAAAACATCAATTAGTGAATTAAAATAACAACAAATTTACATTTTTTCAAAAAAGTTTATAAGCAGCTGTATTTATTGAATTCTACATATATTTTAATGTATAACAAAAAAATGACTTTCAAAGATTATATATATATATATATATATATATATATATATATATATATATATATATATATATATATATATATATATATATATATATATATATATATATATATATATATATATATGTATATATATATATATGTATATATATATATATATGTATATATATATATATATATATATATATATATATATATATATATATATATATATATATATATATATATATATATATATATATATATATATATATATATATATATATATATAAGAATGTTTCAAAAAATTCAAAATTTCAACTAACATTGCTTTATATATGGTGCCCCACCTTTGATATTTTTAAACAATTTTTTTATACCACATTTGGACCACTCCATCATTCCTAGAAATGAGCTTTTTTTATTCAAATTGACATTTAGCTTTTTTTATTCAAATTGACATTCCCAAACTCAGGGTCCAAGAGAAGAAAAAAATCAAAGACGTGACCTTCTTCACTGCATTGTTTTACACGGAATGGTATCTCAGGGAGCAAATTCAAGCAACCCCTACCTTTTTTTACTGTAATTTTTAATTTTTTATTAATAAAAACATTTTAAAGTTTATATAAAAATAATGCTTTTTAGTATTTTGCTATCTAAAGATTATTTCTTAGGATATGAAAGCTCTGTGGCAGATGACTCTCAAGATACTCTGATGTCAAATTTAAGCAGGCAAAACCTGTGATGAACTCTTTGAAGAGACATACCGGGTACATTGATCCTACCACTGTTGTTATGGCTCTAGTTGATGAAGAGGTCCATAACCATGGTGAGATTGCCAAGAAGCTGTACTCCATGTCAAAACTCAAGAATTATATTGTACACAGGCAGTAGGTAGATCTTGAAATGCTGAACAATATTGATTTTTGTCAGGATAATCATCCTAGCTTAGTTTCATTGATAACTGAACAAAGTTAGTTCATATTTCATCTTTTCAATCATGGAAAGGAGAGTTGCAGTGGCTTAAGACCCCAGTAATGACATGAAACCTAAACAAATGTTATCTGGAGTTAGAACATTTTGTCTAAAATCTGGAGGCAGTTAATGATTGCAGCGAGAGGATTGTGAAAATTGTTCTGGTATATTGACAAAAAAATGTATGACATTTAAACCTAAAGAGGAAATAATAAAGTTACTTTCAACAAACATATTGAATAACTTATATTTAACTAGGAGGTGATCAACAAACCCCACAAAGCGAAGAAGAGACAGAACACTTTTCTTGTACTTAGGTGGTTAGAGTTCGTAGAACTTCATTTATAAATGAAGTTTATAAATGAAGTTCGTAGAACTTCATTTATAAAGTTACAATAAGAAAATAAAATAATTAAATCTTTATATATCATCTTAAACTATGTTTAATTATGAACATTTTAAGTACTTGTTCAAATATTTTGAACATTTATTAAAAAAATTATTTCAATTTTATCATATACATTTAAAAGAAAAAATTTAAAAAATGGAAAAACTTGAATATTGAGCACATATTAAAACCCATGCTCTACTTGGAGTTTCAGCACAAGCCATAACCAATGAATTGGTTTTAGTTCATGGTGACCAAGCTCCAAAATATACTACAGTTGCCAAGAGGGCTACTTTATTTAAAGATGAAAGAGTCTCGAAGATGATTCTCGCTCAGGGCACCCTCAAACCACGTATACAGCTGAGAATATTGAAAGTGTGCAAACCATTATTGAAGAAAATCCACATGCAACACATGATATAATTTAAACCCTGACATCGATTGATCATTACAATCATCAAAATTATTCACAACGCACTTAAAAAAAGAAAACTAACATCACGTTGGATACCCCACGAGTTAGCTGAGTTAACAACGTGGGGTATCTAAGAATAAAGTTAAGGCATGTAAGGAAAATTTAGCCCTATTCAGAAACGGCCTATGGAGACTATGTAATATTGTTACAGGAGATGAGTCGTGGTTTTATTTAAGACAAGTCACAAATTGTCTAAACCAAGCTGGAATTACAATAATTTGCCACCCACCATACTCACCAGACTTAGCTCCATTAGATTATTGGCTATTTGACTTCATAAAAAAAAAATCTTGATGACAATACTGATGCCAAAAGCTAAAAAACCCACAAAACGAAGCTATTTGAAAGTATACCCGAAAAAGAGTATAAAAAAACGTTTTAAAAATGGCTTGAAAGGATGCAACTTTGCATATGATGGACATTATTTGAATAGGCCTGCTAATCAGAGATATAATGCCAGATACATCACCCCCATTGTAAAGCAGGTGCCCACTATGATGGTCTGGGGCAGTTTATAGAGTCAAGGCATGGGTGACATGGTTTATGCCTAAACATAACACCATTACTGAGCTGGTTAACCTATCAGTCTTAAAATATCATCTTATTAGACATATGCAAAAACACAACTGTATTAAATTTCAAAATGATGGTGCTTTATGTCGCCTTACAGCTACAGTACCCACATGGTTGAAAGATAATGGCATTCAGATGTTGGAATTATGGCCTGGCTCTAGTCCAGATCTTAAACCAATTGAAACTATGTGGGGATTTATGAAAAAAAAGGTTGCTGAGAAGAACACAACATCAGAGAAATTACTGATAGAAATAAAGCAAGTTTACTTGCAAAGTTTCAGAATATTTTAACAATTTAGTTAAATCTATGCCTGACCATATTAAAGTAGTGCTTGCAAAAGAACAACATCCTAAATATTAATTTTTTTGTACTTTAGTTGTAAAATGATTGACTGATTCATGTATAATAAAATTATAAAGCTAATAAATTTGTTTCATATATTTGCTCATGTCAAAGCACATAAGAATTAAAAAAATTGAAGTGGCCTTAAATTTATGACCAAGACTGTATATATATGCCTTGATTAACTCATTCTATAATATAAAAGTGCAAAGTATGCGCAAGGTACACATTTGTTTTAAGAAACAAGAACCTGAAATTAATTTGTTTAAAATAATAATTTAAATAATAAAACATTTTTATGTCATATTTTATATAATTTTTGTATTTTTTACTTTTAACAATGAGTTTAAGTTAAACTTAAATTTAACCTTATAATATGAAAAAAAAACCTTAAGAGATTGCAAAAAAGTCCATATCAATATTCGAATGTTGTATCCTTGACGCAACAATTTGAGCAAACGAAATGCTCTGAACAATCTGAAGAGAGATGGATCAATGGAAAGCTAAAAAAATAAAAAAATTACATTTGATATCACAATAAAACACAAAATCATTATCTCAAAGACAAAGCGTTTCTTTTAAAAACAGAATCCATTAACATTACTATTAAACAAGCTAGATATGTAGAATTAGAGAATTGGTTGAGTTTAATTTTTATCAATTACCAGTAATTACTAATTGTTTGCAGTAAAATCCCTATTGCTACTCCACTACAATAGTAACTTTCATTGACTATATTAACTTATATTAACTTTAACAGAAGAAAAGATGTATTAGGAAACCTAAATAAATTCTCTTAAACCAACCTTAGAGTCCAACCTAAATATAGTGATTGAAGCTCCAATAAGTGTTATACACACAATAACAAAATCAAATACATTCCAAGGCATACGAAAGTAGTTCTAAAAACAAATATTTAAAATTTTTTTAACTTTATATGGAAAAATAAGATTTAAACTATAATTCAACAAAATTTGTAACAATAGCAACAAAATTTGTAAATGAACTATAGCTCACAAACAACATACCAGTTTGTAGGCCATAAGTTTCAGTACTGCTTCTGCAGTAAACAAACACGTGAATACTACGTTAATTATATCAAGAATGTTTTTATACTCAACAGATTGCCCATCGAACTAAAAAAATTAAGACATACTCACAACTTGCCAAAATAATTTAAAAAAAAAACAAACTTCAATTTATGCAATTCAAAAAGAATTTCTTGAAGTAAATATAAAAACAACAACAGCAACAACAATAAAAACAAAAAAATATATACAAAAATATCACTCAGTAAACCTTTAGAGGCATACAACATATACAACTCTTCATAAGTGTATTCACAATAAAGTTTAATCGTGCTAAGTGCAGCATTTGAATTTGTTATTGTTTCAGTATTTACAAGTTAAGTCAATTACGGATCCAGAAGAACACTCACAGACACCATTGCAACACTCACAGAAACCATTGCAACACTCACAGACATCATTGCAACACTCGCAGACACCATTGCAACACTCACAGACATCATTGGAACAGTTGGGGTTATTTCTACATATCAAAGTCATTTGTTTCCATCAAACAATAAATCAAGACAAAAATGGTTTCACTAAATGATAATTGTAAACAAAGCGTCAGAGTAGCAATATTTTATCTCTAAGGGCTTCTTCTTGTACCAAAGACAAAATAACTATAAGTTATTTTGTCAAAAATGATTTGTTGAATGAAATATCAGCAATAACAATTTGTGGAATTTTATTGATGATCAAAGAAAACAACATATAATTTCCAGATGTGGTTTTTCTTAGCCATTTAAAATTAGTTATTACAAAAATAAGTAAATTTATACAGTTGGTAATTGCATCAATGCTGTTAGTGCAGTTTTGTCACAATTTGTAGTTCACAAACTAACATCACGTTTATACAAAGACAAATGTGTAAGACCACCAAACGCTCTATATAACTTTCAAGGATTTTCAAAGGCAATTTTAGTAATTTTCCTGGACCTATGCAGTGTTATTTCCATGACTATTCCAGGACTTACAAAAAAAGGTTATAAATTACAGAACTTTCCTGGACTTATTTTCTTTAATGATGGCCCAAAATAAAAAAAAATGTCAAAACATCAGCAACATAACAAGATAAATATGAATTTAAAAATTATTGGTAAAAAAACTTGTCATTTACAAGACATTCCTGGGGTGGTCTATAAATAAATGTTATATAACAAAAGCAAATAAAAACAAAATAAATATAACTAAATAAACTAATATTTAAACCAACAGAAACAACCCAATATAAAAAAATGTATACAACATTAAGAAATATTTTTTTTAACTTTTCTCTGGTACAGATTATTTCCATGGAAATAAAAACATCATACATTAAACTTTGTTCTACAAAAATATCAAGAAGTTGTTTATTAATACTATTAATATACTAAAGCCATGGTCAATGGAATATAAAAGCATAAAAACTTTTTTAAAAACATTACAAACATCTTGATAAGCTTTATTCACTAAAATGAAGTCAGTGAAGAATTTATTAAAACTTTTGTTAATAATATCAAAACCTTGAAATGGTTTCCAATTTGAGTCAACTACTAATATTTCTAAAAACTTTTGGTATTGATTTTTTGCTAGTTCTGCACATTTGGTGACAAGTGACCATATTTAATTAATTTTTGCAATAGAATTAAAAATTATTAGTACAAGTATTTTATTTATTTGGATTTGAAAAAAATATTTGAGTTAATGGATTCTGCAGTGCATATTATGACAAACTTTAAAGGGGACTTCTAAAGTGTGTCAACAGACCAGCTAAAAACTCTCCTATCTCTTTTTTGAATATAACTACTCTTTGATTAGTATAACTTAAATTAGCTTGATCAATTTTAGCCAAGCAGCAAAACCAATACCAATTTTATTTGTAGGTTTTTTAATGTTTTTATTTGCTACCCTTACTTAAAACATTTTTTAGTATGATCTGCCTGAGAAAGTTATCAACTATATCACCAAGTATAACCATAAATGAAATCATTGGTTTAAATCATTCAACTTTTCAGAAACCACCTCAAAAAATTTTAGTTTGGCAAGCAAAACAGGGTCATGAACCATGGTTTTTAGTTTTAACCAACTTTTATTATTTAAATCAGGTTGTTTGTTTTTCTTAAGAATAATGAAATATGTAATAATCTTTTTGTATCCCTTAAGTAGTGATTCAGCTCATTTAGCACAATTTTCTTTTTCACACCATCTATGTAAACAAAACTGCATTGGATAATCAAGTCCAGTGATGTTTATAGGTAGCTTGTCTACTGGGAAAATCATGTAGAAACTGCCACATTGCTTTTAATAAACTATTTATCTTTGGCGCTTGCTTTAAAACTATCTATATATAGATAAAATTCTTCCTTTTCCCTCTGTTCCTTTAATTTATCTAGAAAAAGCAAATTTATATTTGGTTTACAAATTTACATTTGATGACAAATACAAATTTACATCTGATGACACCTGCAAAATTATTATACCATTTGCGAATTGATCTAAGAAAATAATATTAGAATATAAAATAAAACTTTGAGTAATTATGGGTGTTGTGTTTTAGTTTACAAATTTACATCCGATGACACCTGCAAAATCTTTGATTTATCTATATCAGAAATAAGGTTTAGAAATGTTTGCATAATGTTAGATGCAGTTAAGCCCCCCCATGAACTCTGATTTTATCCCAAAAATGAACTAAAAGGTTTTTTTGACCCTTCTGTAAAACTTGATTCATGGATTCATTAAATGAAACAGTGTAGTATAGTGCATTAGATAAAATAGATAGTAATTCATTTTTAAAAAAGGAAAGCCCAAATGTTGCTATATAACTGGCCTAGGTGGATCCACATTGAAACATTTAGTAGTGTCACTATCTGGAAACAATTTACTAAATAATTTTTCAGAATTAGTTAAAAAATTCATTGAATATTTAGAATACGCAATATCAGCAACCAACAAGTTTCAGCTTCAAATGTGGATGTGCTTATCAGGATTTATTGTGATTTGTAGTTTTAATTATTTGTAGTTATTGTCTTTCAAACAATAACTACAAATCACAACAGTTTTGCTTTTTTTCTCAACCAATGTTTAAATTGTTTTTCAACAAGCCATTTTTTTTTTAAATAAACATTTTTTTTTAAGCATTTTTTATTTATTTTACATAGAAAAAGTTAAAACAGTTTATGAGCTTATGATTTATTTTTAAAAAAATAAATATGTAAACAGCAATAAAAGTTATATATTAATAAATCCAATTAACTATAATAACTTTATTGACATAAAAACAGAATAGCAAAAAATAGAAACTTATAAACAAGAAATAGCTAATATATAACTAAATACTAATTTAAAAACAAAAAACAGTCTATATATTTATGATTTAAAAAAGTCTATTCATTTTTTTAAATAATATTTTAAAAACAAGCTGATTATCTCTTATAGTCTATGTGTATGTTTTTTTGATTATCTCTTATAGTTTATGTGCAAATTTTTTTGAGAATCACATAAGTAAAAATATCTATTGAAAATCACTAAAGTAAAAATATCAATTGAAAACAATAAAAAACAAATCTTATAAAAGAAATGGTGGAAGATACTTGAAACAATTGAGAAGAAATTGAAAAATATGCAAATTTCTAGGACTTTTCCAGGATTTAATTAAACTAGACAGATTCAATCAATTATTAACTTAATGATTTATTTTTTTAAATTATAGGTATATTAGTCTTGGTCTTATAAAAGTTACGAAGTTGAATGTATCTGCATTGGCAATAAATTGTTTGCTGGTTCATTTATCCCACATATACACCTATGTCTAATCATAATATAACAGTTTAACAAAACTAAATTAACTTGGTATGCAAACAACAAGATCTTGAAGATCTTGTTGTTAGAATCTTTTTATCACGATCAGAATTTCTGAAAACATATTTTTAAGAAAGTTGATCTGATTCAAATACCCACTTAATATTGATCACCTTGTGGAAAACATTTAAAGCTCTTTCAAAAAATCTAAGTTTTAATTAAGCAAATTATATTTAAAATGTTTTCAGTTTCTTTTTCAAAAGGTATGCACTTTGTTCAAAAAAAACTTGTGAAAAAAAAAGTGCATGTAATAAGTTAAAACACCTAAACAACTAAAATGTTATAGGAAAATAGCGTTCATCAATTTGCACTAAATAAATGTTTTGAAAAAGCAAGTTGTTGTTATTTCTTCTTTTATACCTTTTAAATATTTGCAATAAAAAATTTAAAATTTATATATTTAAAAATTAGAAAAAAACAACTCAAATCAACTCTAATTAAATGACATCATTGAATAAAAGGTTTTTATTGGATGTTTATAAGTACAACTTTTGTAAAAAAAAATTTTTTTAATGGGACCACTTAGCAGGTTTTTATTCATTTATAAATAATTTATTGCCAGGCAATTAAATTTTTTCAGCATTAAAATTAATGGACCTGCACAAACAAATTAAAAAAATTGTGTATATAAAATTTTGATTTTTGTTAAAGCCTCAAAGTGGTTCATTGTAGCCTGCCGCTAGGGGTAGTTTCAACCACCTAGAGGGATACTTTCGACCATATCATTATTAATAAAATAATAAATTGATAAGCTTTTTTTTTTTTTTTTTAATATTTTATTGTAAAAATGTAAACTTTCCACAAAATTTTTAAAAACAAATAGTAATAGCTGTTTTACAATAAGTTTTGCAAAATTATATCAAAATAAAAATAACGCAATTATTTCCGCATTTGTTAAATTTTATTGCGCTCATAGCAGAAACTTCTTTCACTTGGCCGATATATTAAACTATGCTACTTTAAGTTGGAAATTTTACCAACACAAAATCTTCAATATGTATATTACTATTATGCAGACAATTATTATTTGAATTCTTGTTTAAGGCAATACCTTCATCACTCATGTCTTCAGACAAACTTCTACAAACTATTTTTTTTCTTTTGATGAGAAATCTTCTGAATAATTGGGTTTGTCTTATTGAGTAGTTTTCTTTGAAAATGTTTTTTATTCAAACTGATAACTTTTTCTCTTTTTTTTTTTAACTTTTCCAAATAAATTTGTTTTATCTTTTTCCTGACTGTCAGTATAATTTATTGATTTCGCTGATTTCCTCTTTTTTTTTTGTCTTTGAGGAGCATTAGGCAAGGACCGCACATGTTCTGGAATCAGTATTTGATTTTTGGAGTTATACAAAAAATGCGAGAGGAAACTGCTTTATGAGTAGATAAAGGTATTAGGCTATTTTGTAATGGTGTACCTATTATCACTTGGTTCTTCCCTTAGGGTTCTATCTGTGACATAGCTGGGCATGAAAACATTTTCTGTAAAAGATTTGATACAAGAAAGTCATTATAGGCAACTTCACAGTTTGATTTAAATGATGAGAAAATGCCAACATCAGAGAAACTTAGTAAACATACTCTACTCTTTTTACAAAAGAGAATTGACTCCAGTGAACAATGAGTTTTGTGATTGTCTAATAAAAGACTTTAACTTTACAGTTTTCATGACTTGTGCAACCAGTTTCATCTAGATTATAAATTCATGATGAAAGAAAATGAAATCGCTCCAAAACTGATTTATAAGTTTTAAAAAAATTGGTTGACCTTATATTTGTAAAAATCTCAGTATTATTTCCAGAGACTATATTGCTTAAAAATAAACTTGTTTAGTAAATGTTTAAAAAATTTTTTTTCTTTTATTTTTCAGTGTAGATCTTTTCAGTGTAGATTTAAAATACAAATAATTGCTTCCTTTACCACATTTTTATTTACTTTATTTCTATCTGTTTTCATAACATATTTTCGAGGTATCTAAAAGACAAGAGAAATAAATCAACTTGGTATTTTCAACCATCTGTCTGAATGTACCCCACACATGTTATATTTAAACAAACATTGTTAAAAGCCAAAATCAATTTTTTGAAGTAAACTCAACACAAAGGTTTCAAACTCAATATCATTAAACAATAAACAACACAAAAGTTTAAGAGTTTAGCATTGCAAAAGAGAATTTCTGCAGATTTTTTAAAACATAAACAAAGTAACTTTTATATTGATAATCTGATTCTATTCTATATAAGAACTCATGCTTATGCAGATTTGATACAAAGACTTGTTTCCCACAATAGCTTACTAACAGACAAAACATACTTCACAATTTTAAGCTATAATTTTAATCATGCTGAAAAATATTTGAATGTTTTCCATAGTTTGTTGTTCCCCATTTTCCTTTACCTGTGTACATCCCTAATCTTTTAAAGGGTACCCAGGCAGGTATTTTCACAATTATTGACAGCCCTACCAGTGTCTAAGTACATCTAAGGTGCTTGAGGAACTAAAGCTAGACAATGAGACCAAAATGTTAAAGCAATTAAAGAAACGCAACAGTGTTCAGTGAGGTTTCATATAAAACTCAATTAGTACAACATTCAAAAAAACGAAGTCAAAACAATCAAGAGATGCTAGAGGTGTCATAGAGTTTCCAATTATAAAGGAGAAAAAGAAAAAATTTTTTTTTTGATGAAAAATTTTTTTTTTTCAAATCTTTAAATTTTAAATACTTTTTCTCAATATTTATCAGTGCAAAAAAGTATTTATAAATTAAAAAATTGTTTTTTCTTTTTTAAATAAGTGAACTGAAATCTAACATGTTTTCTTTATATGTTATAAATTATTAAAACAAAAATGGAAACAAATTAAAAAAAAAAAAAAAAAAAAAAAAAATTTACATACTGCTAACATTAAGACAACAGCATTTAAGGAAATGATAACCAAAATCAGTATTTCAAAAGGTTTTGAGTCAACTATACACCAAACTTTATAAGAAAATCCACTTTTGTCAACTGGCATAAATCTTTGACGTGGCTTAGCATTCAAAACAAATTGCAAACAAGCTCTCTAAAATACAATAATACAATGGTAGTAGAAGAATCACAATTGAATAAAGCTTTAATAAAAAAGGAAAATGTTTGAAAATATTTAAGCTTTATTAATTTATTTAATAATTAGTTATTAAATTATTAAATCACACTACTTTCTTAAACAAAATTATATAAAAAGAGTATAACAATTTTGTTTTACTTAAATGTAAAAAGGATTTACTTGGTTTTTGTTTAGCTCTGATCCAATGATTTCTTTTTCTCCCTGCTCTTGAAACGTAACAATGATAAGTGCCACAAAGATATTTAAGAAGAAGAATGAGAAAATCACAACAAAAAAAACATAGTACAAGGACAAGAACATGTTGTTATCTGGAATAGGACCTTGGTCAACACCTGTTGCATCAATGGAATACTGCATTACACTAAAAAAAAAACTATAAATTGAAAAAAAAAAGAGAAGAAAAACTTTTTATAGAAAAATATACATCAGTAGAGAAAAATTTTTTAAAACAGAGTTCATTAAAATATATCACCTAGGCCAAGCCTCTCCTGTACCACAAGAAAATAATGTCAAAATTGCAATCGGAATACTGTCAAAATTAAATTCTGCATTTTTCCACTCTCTTTTTGTAAGCTTAAATTAATAAAGCTTAAATTAAATGCGCATCAAAATTAATTATTAAAATAAAAATATTACTGAACAAAATTTTTTTTTAATAAAGTAGAGTTAATTCAAAAAAGAAAAAAAAAAAAACTTTGCTCCTATAAAAACAAAGTTGATATATTTTGTTGTTGTTGATGTTGTTGATATTAAGGACCCATCAAAATTATTTACAGGAGTTGCTCAAGAGCCTGGATCAAGATCTCTTGAGCAACCCCTGAAAAATTTTTTCAAGTTAGTTTTCAAAAGCCAGTGGCATTTTATTATACAGACACATTTAGAACGTTTATAAAGTCTTTTTAAAAATTTTTTAACTATGTTTTGAACAATCTTTTTATAAGTATGCTGTAAAGGATTCTAACCATTCATATTTTGAATTTATTTTTAAAAAGCACTGATGATTTTTAATCATTACAATATGTTATCGCCATTCAGCTAAGTCTTATTCCTTTACTGTATCTGTCCCTGCATGCTCTAAAAACTTTTATTCATCTAGTTTTTTTCCCTGCACTTCAATCCTTTGGAACTCTCTCCCATCTTCATGTTTTCCTGACTCATACAACCTTCAACTTTTCAAGTGTTCTGTCAACCGTTTCCTTGCTCTATAACTCTGTTCTTTTTTTTTCCTAGTAACTCCCAACTTAATAGTGGTTGCTTGCAGCCTTGTTGGGAGTGAATGCAAATAAAAAAAATAAAAAATGTTAACCTAATTAATTTTTTATATTTTTAGGAAAAAAACAAAACTGTAAAAAAATGTTATTTATGTTTTTGAATTATTATAGTAATTTTTATATATTTATGCCAATACCCTGTGGATGCCAATACCCTGTGGATGCCAATACCTTGTGGATGCCAATACCCTGTGGATGCCAATACCCTGTGAATGCCAATACCCTGTGGATGCCAATACCCTGTGGATGCCAATACCCTGTGGATGCCAATACCCTGTGGATGCCAATACCCTGTGGATGCCAATACCCTGTGGATGCCAATACCCTGTGGATGCCAATACCCTGTGGATGCCAAAACCCTGTGGTTTTTAACAATCTTAAAACAACATGATCGGGCATTTAATCAAGAAATTGACTTTGCAACTCTAAAAGGAATGTTTTTAAATTTAAGTTTCTTCATTTGAAGTTTGACTACTTTTATTTTGTAAACTCTTGTTGTTGTTTTTTATTTGGTTGTGATCTCTTGCAACTTTTTTTTTGAATACTGTAATTTGCAATTACATTCATATAAAAAATTACCCCATAAGCAAATAATTACCATAATTACATCATAAGCAAATAATTATCATAATTACCCCATAAGCAAATCATTTGTGTGGAAAAGAAATTCTAATCTCACAATTATGTTTAGAACTAGATATACAGCAGATAGATAGACCAGATAGAGGGCAGTTAAATAAATTGATAAATGAACACCGCTACATAACTGTTGCTACATGAATATTAATTTACACATGCAAAATTATTGAGTTCAAGTCTATTTTATATTTAATGACTGCAGATAAGTGGATGGAACTATTAGAATAAAAGCTTGCAGAAAATGCACTTGATTTGCAAAAAGACATTGTTAGAAAGACTTTTGTTGTTCACTATAGCTATTTTTAAGTCATATTTGTAAATAGCAATTTTTTTACTTTTTTACCACAAATATTCTATTGCATCTATGAACTTGAGTAATTTCAAAAAGATTGAGATCATTTCTATCAAAGTATAGCTTCATTTTTCTTAGAGTTTGTTTTGTTAAAATTTGTTAGTTAAATTACACAGAATAGGCATGTTCCTTCAACAGCTAGTCAAGGTAGCTTGTGCATGGTTGCATGGAAGATGATGCACTGAAGAATTTGGTGATAGCTGATCAAATTTTAACTTGAAGAATTTGACCTTGATAGCACTGACAAATTTTGTTTTGTAGTGCAGTGGGTGAGCAATGCGGTTGTTGAATTGAATTAAAATGCTGCCATAAACTGATGACGAATTTAATTAGTTATCTAATATTATTAATAATATTATTGATAAATAAATAAAAAAAAACTGTCAATTTTACCCTATATGGGGTAACATTATTATGTTTAATGCTGTAAATGTTAAATTTACATCATGAGGGCTAACATTTTATGAAAGAAATAAGTTTCAGTCCCAATAGAGTTTACTTAAAAATATAAAAATTTAACTAAAAAATTAAAGTTAAAAATAATTTTTCTAAGAGTTGTCTAACTATTAAGCTCTACATCACATTAATGACTCAATATCTGATTACGACAAAATCCTGCAGCACTATATTTTTTTTAGATTTCAGAAACAACAAGATAATTTTTTATATTTTCAGGTTTTGATGTTTTGTTCTTACATATTAAAAACATTGTTAGGTGTGGATTTCAACTTTTTGCAAGTGTTGATTTTTAGATCTGTTGACATTTGATGTATTGGTACATTTCTTTTTTTTCTTTAGAATTACTCTTTTAATTTAGGGTTTGTGTTGTTTGATTTTATTTTATGTGATTGTGAAAGATTCATTAGATGTAAGATATTCTGCCAACTTTTGCTTGATTTTTGGCTCATGAGGTGACTTAAGCATTCCTGTCAATGTTACCCCAAAACTGAAAAATGTGTTTAAAAAAAAATGCTACAAAATTTTTTTTTAATGTTTAGTATTTAGAAACAACATCATAAAAACACATGTAAAAATGATACTATGTATAGTGTTACTTATCTTTTGACTAAAGTTTTTCAGCAACAAAAAAAGGTTAATTAATACCCTCTGTATTGTGTTGTTATTTACACTTAGTTATATTTATTCATATAACATCTGGCTACAATATCTGTTAAATCATTTTAAACAATAATCAATGGGTGACAGGTAAAAACATTTAATCTAACACATGACAATGTTACTTGCATGTCAAAGTAACCCCGTTACGTAAATGAACCAAAGTTACCTTATGCTTTTTCAGCAGAAATAATAGGTGAATAAGTGGCCAAAGGATTCAAAGGTATGGCAACAAGTTACATTGAAACTTAGTTGAATAAACATTTAAAGCTTCATTAAATCTCAAAGATGCAGTAACAGATGACACAATTTGACCAATAAACCTGTTGAGATTTGAAAAAGTTGGTCCTCTTTATCCGAATTGTGTCTGCAAATGTCATAATGACCTTCACTGTCAAACATAAATGCACAATCATAGTGTTCCAATAAAGCATGTGTGGTCAAAATAGAAATATAGGTCTCTACTAAACAAGCTGTAAACAAATGTGGTGCAGAACGTGGACTGTAAACAAATGTGGACTGCAAACTCTAATTTTGATTTTTTTTTCATAATCAACAGAAAGATAAACAAGGCAAATCCTGAAAGAGAAAGATAAACAAGGCAAATCCTGATCCACTTCTTCCACCAAAGGAATAAAAAATCTAAAATCCTTGAATAATGGTCAGCAAGTTTTCGAAAGCAAAAATTATCAGGCCAATCAGTTTTTTACCAACAGTGTAATGACCACTAGCATTCTGTTTGCCTGGATCAAGCTGCTCAGAATGAAACAAAAGTTGTCTGTATGTCCCAATTCGGATTTCATCTATCTAAATCAACAAAAACAGCCCTGGGTACATGTTTGTCTGCACCTGTTTCACTAAAAAACGTGTTAAATGAGTCATCGCCACCTCCAATAGTTTTGTCACTAGGGATTTGACAGTAATGTATGAATACCATGCTCAAGACAATACAATTCCCAGCAAGTAAATACCTATCTGACAACCAGCTTGTTCAACATGAACTAATATACATTTCATACATTTTGGATTTTCTTTAAAAACTCATTAAAGATATGTAAAATATATTAAGTTAGTAGTTAACTTGGCGAAACAGCATATTGCTAGTTCTCTTATGAGGTTCTGGATATTTTGATATATATATATATATATATATATATATATATATATATATATATATATATATATATATATATACACACACACACATATATATATATATATATATATATATATATATATATATATATATATATATATATATATATATATATATATATATATATATATATATATATATATATATACACACATAAATGCTAAATAAACATACGCATAGATGCTAAAGCTATATTTTAATAATAAAGTAACAACATACTGTATAGTTTTGTGTGTTTTCAATTGGAGTGTGAAGAAACAAAAATTCACCCCTAAAAAATATTAAACAATTATTTGACCTAAATATTAGTAAAAAAAAAGCAACACTTTTATAAAAACAGAATATTGTTAAACAAAATATGTTTTCAGGAATTGCAGCCATACACATTTATGCATGGAAGATTATATTAGGACTTTAGATGTTACTGACCAAAAATTTAGTAGTCTTTATAATTTTTTCAAATATAAATGTAAAATATAAATGTAATTAATTAAAGTATATTTTTTGTTTACTTTTTCATTTATTCTTCTTTTTTGCAAATATTTTCTTAACTAAAGTCAATATTTCAAAAATTATAAGTTAATTATTACTATAATATGTTAATATAACATGTAAGCTATTTTATATACTTTGTTGTATTTGATACAGGTAATCTGCATTGCTTAAACTAGACTGAAGTACGTAAGCCCACAGAGAAATATAAATTTAGACTTGGCATGAAAACCCCCAGAGAAATATGAAACTAGACTGAGCAATCAAAGCTAAAAGAAAAGTATAAATTAGACTGAGCAATTCAAGTCCACAGAGAAATATGAAACTAGACTGAGCAATCAAAGCCCATAGAGAAATAAAAAACTAGGCTGAACAATAAAAGCCTACAGAGAAATATGAAATGGCCATTGAAAAAATATATAAAGAAGAATAAGTAAAATAAGGAACAGATGTTTACAATAAACAGGTTTATTTGAAGTAGAAAAAACTTATACACAAATCTTACTCAACAATAACTTTATTGTTAAAGTATAGCTGTAGCTAAAACAAATATCTGGGTGTTAAAAAAACAAACAGAAAGCATAAAAAGCATACATAAAAAAAAGTTATTAGATAAAAAAGTACTTACCTTAAAAACAAATATCAAATAATATAACATATTTATCTTATATAAAATATAAAATGAAAATAAAAAACATATATAACATATACAAATATAAAATGAAAATAAAACATATAACAAAAAGAATCATAAATTTTATAATAAATAATTACAAAAAAATAGTTACCATACCATTGGTAGAAACTTTATTGAAAACAAATAATAAAAAATAAAGTTAATAAATAATAAACAATATAAAAAAATAATTTCTAATAGAGAACCACAAAATGTTTAAATAAAGTTATAAGTGCTAGTAAATAATTATTATAAGAACAAAATGTTGATAAAATTGGTACATTTAAACAAATAAACCCAAGCTGATAAGTAGAGAAATATATGTAAAGTTGAACAAACATCAAAGTCATACAAAGTTTACTAAAAACCCAGGCATGTCAAATATACCTAGATCCAATTTTGCTAACCAATTAAAAGTATATCATATTGAACAACATGGGTTGTTCAATTTTGGAATTAATTTTGAAAGTCAAATAAAAATTTAAAGAAAAAATCAAATGTATTATTAAAATTAAAAAATTATGAAAACTTTTTATCTTATAGTTAAATTTAAACCTTTATATCTTATTTTATTATATATATATATATATATATATATATATATATATATATATATATATATATATATATATATACAAATATATATATATATACATATATATATATATATATATATATATATATATATATATATATATATATATATATATATATATATATATATATATATATATATATATATATATGTATTAATGTTACATACATATAAACACACACACACACAAAAACATACACACACTTATTCTTGCATAATTAAGTTGCCATAGTGTTAATAATATTTGCACAAAATAGATTAAAATTTACATATTATAATATGTAAATGTAAATGTAATAAATGTATAAATTTTAATGTAATATATTCTGTTTACTAATAACTTTTGAAATGTTGACTTTAGAAAATATTTACAAAAAAAAGAGGAATAATGAAAAATATGCTGTAATAGATGACATTTATTTTTAGATTCTTCTTGCCTATAAGCTTCAGCCAATATATATATAGGTAGCTGTGGTAGGGCTTCATCAGGTGGTATTTTTAAGCTAATGAAGACAAAAGGTTTTGGAATAAACAGCAATTTGGTAAGTTTCAAAACCAGAGGGTTATTAGAACTCCTTATCCTTATAAACCACATAACTATAGCCCATATATTTTTTCTTAGGAAAGGTTTGTTGTTTTTTTTTTATAAAAAAATTACACTCAGGCATTTATAATATTTTAAACAAAAAGGTTTTTTATGATGTGGTGTTATCTAATTAATTTTCTTGAAAATATTTTGCAAAAAAGTTCAATAAAATTAAAAAATAATGAAAGTATAAGTTTTGAAATAAAAATCTTGAAACATTAAAAACTAAGCATAAAGCAAAATTTAAAACTTAATAAATTACTGGCATTCTTCTCGAGTTAACTTGGAGTGGTCTGTGCAATAATGAAACTTTCCCTGAAGATAAAATTTACATAAAACATAAATAAAACTACTTCACAGTTTAAAAAATCATTAATTTAACTAAGCCTCAATTAATTTTAAACTATAAGGAAAAAAAAAGTTAGTTTAAATTAAAATTTACTATAGCATATTTTATTTAGATTAGCGCTTTTTAAATTTGCAATAAATATCCTGCCCACATTTGCTAGCGTTCTTACTTAGCAGGTAATATAATTCTTAGGTAATATTATTGTTTTCTATAAATAGAATAATGTTAGACACGAAAATATTTTCCATGAAACTATTAAATTATAGTCAAAAATTAAATTGTTTTAAAATCTAATAATCACATAGATACAAGCAAGACGCAAGCATTTATTTGGAAACTTCACAACGCACATGAAATAAGAGTTTAGGGCAAACTTGCCATTTCATAGCATTTCACAACAATCACAAAGATCTTTTGATTTAGAGAAAAAGTGAATAACATTTGATCAATTGAAATCTTAAATTTGGTTACTTTTAATGCAAAATTAGTTATTACTTATTATTTAGTCATTTAGTACCTAGCTATTTGTTACTTAGTGATTTATTACTTAGTTATTATTAGGTTATTGTATTGATATCAAGTTTATACTATATTTTGAAGGGATCCTCAGTTTTCTTCAGAATAGATTAATATTGCCAAAACTGTTTAATTTATCAAACTTTATGCAGTGTTAATTTAAAATTCTTCACTTAAACTATTGCATTCAAGTTCAGATTTTAGTTTCATTATATTTTTGTTATCTCTTTAAAAAAGATTTTCTAAAGAGATAAAATAGATACATTTAGTCACATTTATCAAACAGGTTCACAGGTGCTATTTGGCTTCTAGAGTTTTTAAAAATTTAAAAGAATACCAGTCTTCTGTAGTCTTTGTATAAAATAGTTGAGATAAAAAACATGATTAAAACATGATTTTGCCAGCACTACTTAATACTGTTTTAAAACCTTAAAAGTCACTGATACATTAGCAGTATTTTACTGATGCATACAGTAGCAAAGTAGATTAGTGTGTTGCATCACAGACAAGTAATCCAAGGCTGGTATCCTGTGAAAATTTCATTTTAATACTTTAATAAATTTTTATCTTTCTATGTGAGCACTTTTGGTGCAACACAACTAAAACAATATTTAGTCGTGTATAGAATGCTAAAGATGTTATTTTGCCTCTTTCCCTTAAATAAAGCAATGTTTGATAATTTTTTATATTTCTTTTAGAATAATAATCAGAAAAAAATTTTATTTCTATTTTAATAAGTAAAATTTAGATAAAATTTTATTTTAAATAATAGATTGTAAAGAACACCAAAACCAAAATAAATAGCTTAATTTTATAATCAACTAAAAAAAAATTAATAACAAAAAATTTAAAGAATATTTCAGAAAAAAAGCTAACCTGGAACAGATGATTACCAATAACAGCAAACATAAACAAGCACAACATTGTGATGATAATAATATTGAGCACTCTCTTCAAGGAAAACACAACACACTGGAAAACCAACTTTAAAAAGAAAAGTATTTATTAGTGTACATTCTTATCAAAGACAAAAATGCACTCTAAATTTAAAAAAGACAGACCTTCAAATCATGGATTTTGTTTATAACACGTAGAGTTCTTAATACACGAAGTATTCGCAAACCTTTAACAGTTGAATCGCCTATGGATTTTTTAAACTTAAGATTGTGAAACCTAGTTGAAAAAAATTTTTAATTTCATAAAATTTATTTTAAAATAATTAACCTTAAACTTACTATCATGGTGTAAAAAAAAAAATTAACACAAAATTTTATTTTAATAAAATTTTGTTAATTTTAATGATTGAACTTTTAATAATATTGAAAATTAACAAAGATGCTGTATCAAGCTATTCATTTTAAGTGATTTTAATTAATTTTTTGGTAATTTATTTAAGTCATTTTAATTACATATATATATATATATATATATATATATATATATATATATATATATATATATATATATATATATATATATATATATATATATATATATATATATATGTATATATATATATATATATATATATATATATATATATATATATATATATACATATATGTATGTATGTATGTATGTATGTATGTATGTATGTATGTATGTATGTATGTATGTATGTATGTATGTATGTATGTATGTATGTATGTATTCAGATAGATAGATAGATAGGTTTCAGCTTAAGAAGTTTCAAAAACTGGTTGTTTCTGGAAATTTATAGATTATTTTGGAAATATAGCTAATATAACAAATTTTTATAAGGTAAAGTATATAAAAAAATATATATGTTCTTAATAAGAATAAAACAATTCTTAAGTAATTTAAGAAAAAGTAAGAATCAAAATTAAACAACAAATTTTGTTAATTAGAGTAGAGGCATACATAAAATTTATCTGTGTTGAGAATTACATTAAACTTAACTGAATTAGGGCTATGATATTTTTTTTTTTTGCAAAAGTAAAACTTTATTGTCTTTTTTCACTATGTTAAATGGGCAATCATATTTTACTATTTTTTTTTTTAAAACTTTCTTTGTTTTTTATATTTTTTTTATTGTAGCAAACCTAATTTCTTCTTGTTATGTTTACTATTATATGTAGTATATATAAAAAACAGAAGAACAATAAACCTTTTTTAATGGTAAGTTACTTTTTTTTTACAATTTTTTTATAATTATAACATTTATATAATTTAAATAAATTATTTAATAAGCAGTGCAGCTCATGTTTATAATTATAAACAGTCACAAATTATAAACATTCAAGTATAAACCTTTTCCACCTCTAAATCATTTTTAAGAATGAAAGCCCAACCCCCTTCTTACTTTCCCATTATTATTGGAATCTGTTGTTTGCCTCTTTTATCTTATTACAACTTTAAACCCATTCTCCTCTATATTACTAGAATTCAATCTTTCTACTCTCTAATTTTTACATTAAAACAATACTTATACAATACTGGTTATACAATACTAGTTATACAATACTGGTTATACAATACTGGTTATATAATACTGGTTATACAATACTGGTTATACAATACTAGTTATACAATACTGGTTATACAATACTGGTTATATAATACTGGTTATACAATACTGGTTATACAATACTGGTTATACAATACTGGTTATACAATACTGGTTATAATACTGGTTATACAATACTGGTTATACAATACTGGTTATACAATACTGGTTATACAATACTGGTTATACAATACTGGTTATATAATACTGGTTATACAATACTGGTTATACAATACTGGTTATACAATACTGGTTATACAATACTGGTTATACAATACTGGTTATACAATACTGGTTATACAATACTGGTTATACAATACTGGTTATACAAAACTGGTTATAGATTTACATTCTGATTTGTTTTCTTTGTTTTACTTATATCTGTTATATAATTATTTCAATGTGATTTTTTTGTTTTGTTAAAATATAACAAACATGTATAGTTAGTTAATGCAATATTTTTAGCAATATTGTTTTTTTTTTTTTTTTTTAAAACACAGCTAAAGAATATTTTTAAGCTATACTTTTTTTTTTTAAATAAAAAAAAACACAGTTAAAGAATATCTTTAAGCTAGACTTTTTTTTTTTTAATAAAAAAAAAAAACACATTTAAAGAATATGATTAAGCTGTATTGTTTTTTTAAAAAACACAATTAAAGATCTGTTGTTTTTTGATCTCATTATGAAACCAAGCAATTTAATAAATCATTCATAAGTAAATTTTTTGGATTGCAAACAGCATAAAAAAAAAACTGGTGAGCTATTGTGATGTAAACAGATGCCTTCATTAAATTAGTTAACACCAATAGTCAAAATAAAAAGCATAACATATATATATATATATAAAAATGAAGATAAAAAAAAATAAATATATGTATATATATATTCAAATGCCCTCTGCTCAAATGCTTGAACTACAATTAATCCAAAACTTTAAACTATTTTTCTTGAATACTAAAAAAAATATGAAACATTAATAAAGTTATTTTTTAAAAATTAAAAACTGTTTGTTTTAAACAGTGTGTACTTTTATATTCAATTTGAAAAAACTTAATAAAAACCAAATATGAATTATTAAAATGATAAATAAAAGTAAGATACAATAGATATAACAGAGAGCAGATACAAACCTTGAAATACTTTTTTAGATTAGTGACTGATGTGTCTAAAAACAGATTGAATCTTTCAAAAATATATAGAGATATAACCATAGTGAGAAGCAAATCTGATATGTTTTCATCAAACAAAACTGTGAATGAAGAAGGTAAAACTTGAATTCACACAAAACTTGAAGATATAAACTTAGTTAACAAGTTATAACTTCTTTAGGCAAATTTTAAAAGATTTACTTACAACTATAAAATAAATTCTTTTCATAGATTTTAAAAGATTCACTAACAACTGTAAAGTGAAAGAGAAAACTGAAACACCAAAAGTAGACTATGAAGGAAAAACCATCTTGCCAAGTCGAGTAAAAATACTTAGAAGGCAAAGTTCACTCAACACTGTTGATAAAAATGAAATCAAAGACTTAAAAAATAAAAGACCAAAGAGTTTATTAAACACTTCAACTTTGATAAACTCTTTTTTTCCTATAACAGAACCTTGCTTTAATCAGCATTTAACACCACAGATGACACCTTTCACATCAATAAGCTCATTAGTTTCAGATATAGAAGATTCTATTGAACAACAAGCAACTACTGAAGAAAAAATTGAACGCCGTGCTCGAATAGACAGTTATTTGCAAACATTAGATGAGAAAAGAAATATATGGAATAACTCATGTGAAGGAATTACTACATTAGATTGAGTAACTAAAACTGTTTGAATTAAATGTATAATAAATACACAACATAAATATGAAAAAAAATATTAAAAAAATATATGTGAAATATGGTTAATAAAGCAATAAAAAAAAATAATTTTATTAATTGTACATTTATTAAAACTTAGCTAATAGGTAGCTAATATATAAAAATATTATATTTATAAATATATTAGATAATTTGGTTTATAAATACATTAATAGTTATACTTACAAATATATATAAACAAATTGATATTTATAAAAATAATATATAGTTTAGTTTATAAATATATAGATAGTAATATTTATAAATAAGTATAAATAACAACATTTGTTATAAATATATAGATTATTTATATATTTATAGACTTTCTAAATATAAAATATTTAACAAAGCTAATAGATAATACATTTAATAAAGCTAATAGATAATATCATTTAGTTAATAGAGTGCATTAACACAATACTATGTTGTAGAGTACCACTATGTTGTAGATTACTAAAGAATTGTAGGGTACCGCTAAGTTGTAAAGTACCACTAAGTTGTAGAGTACCACTAAGTTGTAGAGTACCACTAAGTTGTAGAGTACCACTATGTTGTAGAGTACCACTAATTATAGGGTACCACTATATTCTAGAATACCACTATGCTGTAGAGCACAACTAAGTTGTAGAGTACCACTATATTGTAGAGTACCACTAAGTTGTAGAGTACCACTAAATTGTAGATTATCGCTATATTGTAGAGTACTTGTATTGTATACTATAGAGTATATAGAGTATACTTGTATTGTATACTATACAGTACTATATTGTAGAGTAATTGTAGGGTACCACTATATTGTAGAGTACTACTATGTTATAGAGTAACACTACGTTGTAAAGTACCCTTAGGTTCTAGAGTACCACTAAGTTGTAGAGCACAACTAAGTTGTAGAGTACTACTATGTTGTAGAGTACCACTAATTGTAGGGGACCACTAAGTTGTAGAGTACCACTAATTGTAAGGTAACACTATATTGAAGAGTACCGCTAAGTTGTAGAGTACCACTAAGTTGTAAAGTTATAAATAAATTAGATAATTTGGTTTATAAATACATTAATAGTTATACTTACAAATATATATAAACAAATTGATATTTATAAAAATAATATATAGTTTAGTTTATAAATATATAGACATTAATATTTATAAATAAGTATAAATAACAATATTTGTTATAAATATATAGATTATTTATATATTTATAGACTTTCTAAATATAAAATATTTAACAAAGATAATAGATTTAATAAAGCTAATAGACAATATCATTTAGTTAATAAATTAACACAATACTATGTTATAGAGTACCACTATGTTGTAGATTACCACAAAATTGTAGAGTACCGCTAAGTTGTAGAGTACCACTATGTTGTAGAGTACCACTAATTGTAGGGTACCACTATATTGTAGAGTAACACTACGTTGTAAAGTACCATTAAGTTGTAGAGTGAAATATAACACTAAAACATGAACGCTACACTATGTTGTAAAGTGCTACTAACTCTAAGCTAAGAAATCAATTTAAAACTTTGAACATGTAAAATCCAGGTAAATTTTAAAATGTTTTTCAAAGGTATATCTTCATTTATTTGAAGTGGTTTAAAAATTTTTTAAAGTTTTTAAACAACAATAATAAAAATATCCACAATTATAAAAAAATTTAAATATAATATCAAATCATCCAATTTGAAGAAAACTTTGTGGGTAACTAAACTACCATTGATTTTTCTGATTTTTACATGTTGTAATGTTTATTATGTAGATAAGTTAAATTTGAAATTTCAGATTTCCAAGTAAATTATAGCCTCATAAACATGACACAGTGGCCCCCCCAATTTACAAATGCTCAAAATACTTTAGAGTCTTATAACTTTTTTCTCACTTTCAACAAGAGTCTCATTACTTCTAAAACTATGTTCTGGGTAGTTCTCTCTTTAAAAAAGTGGTTTTTATTAACTAGCATTATATTATAGAAAAATAATGACGTTCTCAACTTTGGAGAAAATCCAAAAATTGCTAAATAATGCCAAAATGAAGTTAACTGTAGCATTTCTCTATTCAAGTCTTTACATATAAGTTTTCTGATTGGCTGCCCTCTCCTTGATCTGGTCTTTATATTGGATAGGGGAACAAATATAGGGGCAGTAACTTTTTAAAGACCTTCATTATTGTTTAAATATGATACTTAAAACATAGTTTACACAATTAAGGAGTATTATATCTCAAAAATGATTTATATTATCCAAAACATTGCTGAACAGTTTTTTAAAAGACTTTTATAACATATAAGGGGTATTAAAGAACTCTATAATAAAAATAGAGATTCTTAAAGTAAAAAATATTAATTATTATTAGGTTTGGTTTTTAAATAATATAAAGTTTTTATTATTAAGTTTGGTTTTTACTTTCTAATTGATAACTAACTGATAATTTAAAACAATAAATATATGATCATTTCTTTATTCCTTTAAAAAAAAGTAAAACCTTTTTGAGTTTTTGAGCTCAGCCTCGTATATCTTGGCAATGTCACTTTCTGGATACCAATGGATACCTAGTGTTAATGGATACTTAAAATAATCGCCAGTATTTTGTAAACAGCTGACACAAACAAAGTCACATATAAGAACTGTTATCTTACTAGAAAAGATTCACCAAAATAATGCGCAATCAGATATTTAAATTTATGTGAAAAATATAAAATTTACTGCTCATTGATGTTAAATAAACTTTTAAATCATCAAGTTTTTAACTTTTGATTTTTAAACAGCATTGAGGTGAAAAGTAATGCTGAATTGTTTTATGAGCAAGAACATGATCAAATCATTTTTTTATGAGCAAGAACATTATCAAATCATTTAGCAAGTACTTTATGTCTATTAGCAGCTGTTTTGTTATCAGGTATACAACCCTCGGAATCAGGGTTGGCATTCAGAAAAGCCAACCTAACTGCCAACCTTAAAGTGTTTAAGGTCGACAATAATGCCGATCTCATTTCGATGTTTTATGGTAACACCTTTGTATGAAATTTTCTTGGTCGACCTTGTGCCAACCTCTGTGAGGTCGTCTAATTATTGCTGACCTCAATTTTCCTAATTCCAAGGATTGGGTATATAGGTAAATCTAAAAATAAATTTAGACCAGATAAATCTGAAAACACAATTTTAAAAATGTATCTAGTGAGATCTTGTCTTAATGAATTATTTTCTTTAAAAAACCTTTTATAGCAATGTTGTCAGATTTTTTATAACAAAAAATTAAAATTTTTTTAAATTATTTTTAATTAAAAGTCTATAATGATACAGGATACAAAACATCAATTAAATATACAAGACAAGAAGAAGGGGAGGGAGGGGGGAGGGAGGGGGAGGGGGCCCTGTATACCTGATGCTTTTACAATTTTCATTAACAACTAAAAAATTGTCTTTGGTGTCAAAATCTTTTAAGTCCAATTTCTATTTGTTTTTCGAAGGGACAGTTTTAACTTTATTGCATTTTTTCGAATTTTGATAGTGACTAACTTAGACTGTGTGTGCCAGATTTTCCAGCAAATATACAATGTTAAGACCTTAAATGGGGATTAAAAAAAGTTAATTAAATTATTAAGTTGGTTGCCCTCCCCCTTAGACTAGACTAGTGAATCACTCCTTAGGAGAGGGGGGTGAAAGGCACCAAGTCCTTTAATAAAATAGAATTTAAAAAAATAATGCTTTCAATTTAAAATTAATTTGGATATTTAGATATTAATTATCTAAATATCTATTTGAGACCTTCATTTGAACCATAATGAAAGTCTCTAAAAAGTTACTGCCCTTTTATTTATGCCCGTATCTACTATAAAGACCAGATCAAGGAGAGGGGAACCAACCATATCTTTCTTTTTGTTAAGAAATAACTTATAATTAGTTAAACCCCTTATAAAAGCCAGTAGACAAGTTAGAAGGGCACTGGTTTCCAATAACACATTCAACTGCTGATAATTAAAAAATTGGGTTATTTATTTATTTTTAAGGTCACACCAAAAATGCTGGCATTTTTGGTGTGAACTTGACAAGTTTATAATGTTTGAGTTTTCAGATAATTGGGTCTTATGGTTTTATATGGTATTAATCTAAGATAAAAATAAACTGTTAAAAAAATTGATAAGCATCTCAAAATGGCTAAAAATTGGACTTTTTAGGGAAATTGACATTTTGCTTTTGAATATATTTGAGTTCTAAACTGAACAAGCTGTCTATATTTTGCCCATTAATTGCAGACAGTAGTAGCTAATCAGAAAACTTATATGTAAAGACTTGTGGATGAATAGAGAAATGCTACAGTTAACTTCATTTTGGCATTATTTAGCAATTTTTGGATTTTCTCCAAAGTTGAGAACGTCATTATTTTTCTCTAATATAATGCTAGTTAATAAAAACCACTTTTTTTAAAGAGAGAACTACCCAGAACATAGTTTTAGAAGTAATGAAACACTTGTTGAAAGTGAGAAAAAAGTTATAAGACTCTAAAGTATTTTGAGCATTTGTAAATTGAGGGGGGCCACTGTGTCATCTTTGTAAGGCTATAATTTACTTGGAAATCTGAAATTTCAAATTTAACTTATCTTCACAATGAACATAACAATATGTAAAAATCTGGAAAATCATAGATGGTGTCCTGCAAGCTAATGGTTGAAATATGATTTGACCCTATAACTAATTACTTTAACTAAATGAAAAGTTAAATATAGTTGATTTTGCAGAAATTTCTTGGCTGATAAAAAAGTCTTTCTGTATTTTGCAGAATTATGTAGTTGTTTTTAGCAGAATAATGTAGATAGTTGTATTTTGCAGAATTATGTACATAGTTAATTTGCAGAATTGTGCACATGGTTATTTTGCAGAATTGTGAACATATAAAAAGTCTAATCAAAAGTTATGTTTAAACAACTTTATTAATATCAATATTCAAAGTTGTTACTAAAAAATGATTCTATGGAACCTGATGCATAAACCTCAAACTATTTTTTATTGCTTTTTTGATAACCATGTAAAAATTCATTTTTCTAACCATTCAAAATACCCAAGTAAAAGTAATTTTTTGACAAATCACTTTTCTAACCAAGTAAAAACCATGTAAAATACCCAAGTAAAATTAAATTAGATGTAACTTATGTTTTTTTTTTAAATTATTTTATCTAGCATTCAAAGCATTCTTTTCCCTATTTTTATTTAAACTTAAACAGCAGAAAAAAAATGAATTTTTGAAATCGCAAATGCTAACTTAAAAAAGACCATCCTGCCAGCGCTTTTTCGTGGGCTCATTAAATTTCAAATGGAGAAGACTGGTAACTATGTTAAATAATATAGATAATTTAAAAACAAATTAAATAAAAATAGTAAAAAGTAAAAAAAAATAGCAATAAATCATAAACTAAATTTACAATTAGTAGTAAATAATAAATAAAATATATAATAAATAAAATAGAAACAAATAACAAACACAGTAAATAATATTAAAATTTTTCAACTAATAACAAATAAAAACAACAATTTAAATAAAAAATATTTTTTTAGAACAAATCTCTGTAGAAACATTAAAAATGATTACTTAATTCTTTAGAAATAGATAAAAAAAGTCTATTGTAAATATTCTTACGCCATGAGATTGGCAGCTATATTACATGCTACAACAAGAGAATCAACAAGGTTCCACCAATCACGAAGATATGATCCTTTATGCGCAAAACCACCTTGATCAACAAGCTGAATACAAAATAAGAAGCATAAAAACAACTAATAACACAATATAATTTTGTTCAGTATTAACTGTTTAACTTTGTTTAGTAAAACTGACCTTTGCTGCAATCTCTAGTGTAAAAATTGAAACTATACCAATGTCAGCATATAGCAGTATCTATTAAAAGAAATATTAATAAAATTAAACAAAAATTACTAAATAAAAATATTTAAAAGCATAATAAAAAATATTTTTACCAGATTTTGTTGGCATCCTACATCATTGAAATCACACAATGGATTTTCCAGAGCAAGGAAAATGCAACTTAGGACTATAAAGATTAACATAATATGCTCAAAATGTTGCCAAGTAACAACAGCATGGCAACCAGTTCTTAATCTATTTGAGAAAAATGTTTAAAAAAATGATTCTATAGAAACTCAATTAACAAATCAGTTTCTAATAAACAACAATTAGATACAGAAGGGTTTTTCAATAAATAAAAAAATAACTAACAACAAATTTTTCCACATTTTAAATAAAAGCTATACTTTTAGCTTTTAATTTTTATCTTCCTAAGACCAGGGGCATGATTTTAGAGAAAAAAACATAATTTTTATCGAGTTTGCAACAACAATTCAAATTAGAATGTACAAGATAGAAATATAAAGATTAATGAATGACCAGTTGAGCAACTGAATATTACTTATATAAGTAAGCATTTAACCAAGAAGTTTGCTCCTCCTTCCTTACTTTCCTTACAATTATTGAGCTAAAGCTGACATCAAATTAAGAACCTCTTGATTCTGAGCCAGAACACTTACCACTGCGCCATGGCTGCTTAAACCAAAAAGTAAAATTGTTTACAAAATACAATAATTATAAAAGAATTTTTATTTTGCTAATATAAAATGGTCATAGCAACATTCCCTCATGCTAATAATGATGAGCAAATAAAATTAAAAAAGTCAACTAAAAGCCAAAAAGATGGCATTTAGTTGACCGAGTTCAATCTCCACCACGTCCCTGGTAGTACTGCGCTCAACTTGTTTCTCCTTGTTTGTCAAGGTTTGTGTTTCGAAGTAATAGAGTTGAGAGAGGGTTATAACCACATTTAAGTAGCCTCCTCATCTACAGTGGCCTTCTCTACATTTGCGTGAATTAACAAAAAAAATATTAAAAAAAAATAACCATAAAATGTTTTTTGCAATTCTTTCTTTATTTCATCTTTATTTACTTGCCTTGCTTTATTATGCAACTAGTTCTCACATTACTATCAAACTTCACAAACATTTCACAGTATTTCTTTATAAATTGCTAACCAAGATTAATATTTATTCATTCATTCTGTTAAGTAACATTCACTCATTCAGTTGAGTAACATTTATTCAGTTAAGTAACACTCATTTATTCAGTTAAGTAACATTTATTGGCGGAACAAAATTTTGCAGATTTGGTGCAAATAAGGAAACCAGTTGCATATAAATTAATTGAGAATAGGATAAGAAGTGCCATAACATTCATTAACAGAAATTCAATATGTCGTTTTTGTGAAAACAGCTTTTTGACCTTCAATATCAGAAAATCTCAAGTGGATTAAATAAGAAAAACTAATGATAATACTTCATAAAGTATTCTCATTAATAAAAACTAACCTGGTCTGATTGGTAATCTGGCCTAGATTTGCCTTTCTGAGTTACTGGCTTAAAAAGGAAGGTTAAAAAAAAAGAAACCGTAAACTTTGAAAAATAAAAATAACCTATTCATAGTAATGATTCTCCCCTGCTCTTGGAAAAGTGAATATTTAAAAAAACTACTGTTTGTAGAAATAATGAATGACTTTTCTAAACAAACTTCATAACTTTTGCACTTTTTTCTAATTGGTGGCTGCCTTATTTATAAAATATAAATAAAAAAAACAAACCTGCTAGAAGGAGAGAATAATAACAATGAGCGTGCATTGAGAACTTTCTTTGAATGCAAATTTCTTCGTTTTAAAACTTTCCAAGAATTTAATAGATGACTTTCACTAGTATCTAAAAGAAATCTAATGTATATATGTATGTATGTATGTATGTATGTATGTATGTATGTATGTATGTATGTATGTATGTATGTATGTATATAATTGTAAATTTTCATCAATATGTGTAATAACAATTGTAAATTTAAATGATTTAAGTCATAGATGTATTAATTTGATCTAATATAAGAATGTATAAAGGCAGTGAAGAGCCCAGATGTGTTTTAGTACCGTTTTACCGGTATGGGCGCCCAAAAATTATTTTTATTTTTAATTATTTTTTTTTATGAAAAAAAGTAAAAAAAAATTAGTTTTAAATGCAGTATTATATAAATAATTCTCAGTTTAATTCAGCTACCTCATTTTTTCTTCACGAAAATAAAATATGCATTTTTACATAACTATGTGACATAACTTGCCTGCCTAATTAGTAATTTGACGTAAATTTAAACAGACGTAATTTGCCTGCCTTTTTTACATAACTACATGACGTAATTTGCCTGCCTACTGGACGTAACTTTTAAAAAAATCAAAGTCGTTATAAAACTTAATTTTAAAAACACGTTGCAAAAATTTATATCAATGGAATGTATAAAAGATTTGCTTTTTTGAAAGTTAAAGCGTTTTTAAATATCCATTCAACTCCGACTCCAACTATGACTCAAACTCCGACTTTAACTCCAATTCCAAAGTAAAATTTTTGAAAAATTCTTCGAATTCTTTAAAAAATATCAAATATAATAATTCAAAAAAACTTTTTTTGCCAAATATATGAAAAATTCTTTGAAAGTTAAATATTTTATACATGCATGCGCAATACCGAGAAGTTATTGGAGTATTATATAACACTATTGGAGTCGGATTCGCGATTTTGTTTAGCAATTCCGACTCTGCTAAAAATCCACGACTCCGACTCCACAGCCCTGTCTATAAATGTCTATATTTTTGATATGAATTTATCTTACGTATTGGTGTAGAACACTGAGAATCCGAACAATCAATTGTTCCTTCTCTGACAAAGTTTCTAAGAAGACTATTTGCAGGTGGTGGAAAAATTGGAGAGCCAGGTATTGTGGGCAAATCTAAAAGCTGGTCATCAAATGATTGTTGGTAAGGCAAAAATGGCTTCCGTCGCTCAAACATTCCAGGACTTTGATCGAGGCTCATAAACTTGCCATGAGCTCTCATAACTACATTTCTCAAAGCATCACCCTTGTGTAGAAAGAAAATAAAAATAAAAAACATATTATGAAAATTTATGAATATAAAAAATGTCAATACTTTATGTTTAAATGTTTTGTATTGTAAGAATTCAATAGAGAGCAAAACCTTGATGGGATTTTAGGAAGGATGTTGGGTAGTAAGTAACAAAAAAAAAAAAACATTCAGCTTTTTAAAAAATATCAAAAAATATAAAAAATTGAATTACAACAAAGAATATTAAATAGAAAACAAGTGCAAAAAACAGAATCTTGAGAACAAACAAGATTTATACGATCAAAAATTAAACCACAATTTTCAAAATATTTAAATATGACTATATATATATATATATATATATATATATATATATATATATATATATATATATATATATATATATATATATATATATATATATATATATATATATATACATATATATATATATATACATATATATATATATATATATATACATCTATACCTATATATATCTATACCTATATATACCTATATATATCTATACCTATATATTTCTATATATATATTATATATATATATATATATATATATATATATATATATATATATATATATATATATATATATATATATATATATATATATATATATATATATATATATATATATATATATATATATATATATATATATATATATATATATATATATATATATATATATATATATATATTTGTATTTCACCTGATGACTGTAACAGCATGAAACTTAAAGTTGTGAAAATCACGTTGTTTTTATTTTCTACTATATATATATATATATATATATGTATATGTGTGTATATATATATATATATATATATATATATATATATATATATATATATATATACGAGTAGGATTTTATTTTATATAGAATTCATGCTAAATTTATAATTTGAAAAATGCTACTTAAATTTAACAGTTTACAGAGTAATATTGCACCTAACCTTAACTTTAACCATTCAAGGATAAAAACATTCAATAAAATAATAAATTCAATAAAATTAAAAGTATGAATACGTCAAAATGTTATTTAATTTATTGACTAAAATAGTTATCCCCTGGACTTTGGATTAAAATTTTTTCTTTATTTGGAGAAAGATATTTTCAATTTAAGGAGAAGCTGTTTTTTAATTCAATTTGAGGAGAAGCTGTTTTTTTGTCAATTTGAGGAGAAGCTGGTTTTAATTTGGGTAGGAGCTAGTTTGTTATTTTTTGCAAAGCTTTGTAATTTGTGTATTGTAACAACAAAAAAAAACTTACTGGTTGAGCTTCAGATTCGCTGACTGCTCTAAGAAAAAATTTTTCTTTGTGATAACTTTCAATATAATAAACAAATATAAACACTGACATTAAAATGTTGAAAAAAAAACTTTTTTACCTAATAGGTCTTTTTCGATAATGGTAACCTTTAAATGGATTGGCTTCATCAACTTCTTTACTTTTTTTTGTAAATGCTATAATTTTTGGTATAGATCTGACTTTACCCCATTTGCTTATAGCAGGTGGCTCAGTAGGCTGTGCATACAATGCAGATATTGCTTTTTTATGCTCCATTTCACGCCGCTTTTGTTCTTCAGCATCCTTTGCAAGTACTTGCGCATTTGCTAAATTATCTACAGCAATTGCTAAAAATACATTTAGCAAAGTATCTATTTCAAATTAAGAATATTAAAGTCATTAGCACATATGGTAAAAACAACTAACACTATTTCTTTTTATACTTTTTGTTTCATTTTAATAACTTTTATCGCCTATTTATTAAAATGTTTTGCAGTAATAAATAATTACAAGTAAACAAGGATATTTAAGTTTGAAAAGATACAGTTTCCTATTATAACAAGAGCAACAAAATACAATGACACAATCATCCCTGAAACTGATTTAGGCCCATTAAATGCTGTAATACCTTGGTACATAACTGTATTCCAGCTTTCTCCTGTCATTATCTAAGCCAATAATAATTATAAAATATTAAATACAAATAATAAATATAAAACTTAAAATTTTTTTCATGTAAAGATTTCTTACTTTTACTTCCTTCAGCTTTTTTAAAAGCAAATAAAATAGTAGATAAAAAAAGAAATAAAAATAAGCTAAATCATAAAAGAAATAAAAATAAGCCAAATAATAAAATTATTTAACAATAAAAGTCAGTAAAACAGTACAAAATAAATAATAAAGTCAATGAATTATTATTTTTGAATATTTTGATATTTTTTTTAAACATATACTTCTGTATTATTTTACTTTTTGTTTTAAAAAACTCTTCTTTTTCTGCACTTTTTTTGATCAAATTAAATTTCTTCATTTCATTTGTCTCTTGATTCTAGTAACCAGTCTACTTTCCAGAGAAATAGGTTCATTCTTCACTAGATATCTAAATCACTTCAGCTTCAATCTCATCACAGATAAAAAAAAGCTTCAATCTCATCTCATATTTTTCTTCCAGCTGGAAATTTGTTAATTTGTTACCAATTTTTAAAAAAACCTTCTTTTGACGTCTATAACTATTACCTAATAAGTCTACTTAATGCTGTTACCAAAGTTACTTACTATTGTTTGCAAGGTTATTCACTTGCAATTACTAATTTAAGTCTTTAAATTATCAAATTTCTAATATCTCATAAAACAACTAACTCTCTGACGATCAATGTAAATTTCTACTGCTGACATATTAACTATTATTACAAAAAGGTTTGGTAGGTTTGCTACTTTCATGCATTAAATTGAAGCAGTGAGGCAAGGGCTATTGTACTTGACATATCAAAGATGTTTTCTAAAGTCTGGTATGCTGGTCTACTCTGTAAGGTTTTTTCATATGATATTTCTCTATAATATTTATATGTTTTATCTCCATAATATTCATATGCTTTTTCTCCATAATACTCATATGCTATTTTTCAATAAGCATCTTTTTATATATCTGGAAAAGTTTTTAAAATTATTTATAATTTTTTTCGTGACAGCATAGAGTTTGCAGTGACTGGTGAATTTAAAACCAAACACAGCTTAGTTGAGTACTACTAATAACTATCACAATGTTGGTAATATTTCTATATTGATGGATGGTAATCGACTACCAATGGCTATAGAGTACTCTACTTTATGTCTCTTTTGATTATCTTTTACAACTGTGCTTTGTAAAGTACATTGCAAAGATTGCCTATCTTTATTGTGCTCATCATACTTCTGGTTCCATTCTTTAACTCTATTAACTAACCTCTAATCTAATTCTATTATCTATAAACCTCTTATTTGTACCACTTCCATATTTAAGCTGGTTCTTCTAATGATGCTTTTTTTTATTTAAAAAAGGTCTAAAAGCATAAATGTAGAGCTTTTACCCAAAATATACTCAGTAATTTATAGAGTTTAATTTATTTAACATATTATAACAACTATAACAACTGTTTTCATAATATAGCATAAAAAATCTAAAAAAGCAATCAGCAAACCAAAAAAAAAAAAAAAAAGTCTGATGCTGGCTGTGTAAAAAGTGATAAATAAGGCTGATGCCAATATATTTGTACATCATTAATATATGTATATATATATATATATATATATATATATATATATATATATATATATATATATATATATATATATATATATATACATATATATATATATATATATATATATATATATATATATATATATATATACATATGTATATGTATATGTATATATATATATATATATTACATATATATAACATATACATATATATACATATTTATGTATATAAATATATATATATATATATATATATATATATATATATATATATATATATATATATATATATATATATATATATATATATATATATAAAATTAATTTATACTTCATTAATATATGTACATAACATACATATACAAATATATATAAATATATATATATTTATATATATTTATATATAAATATATATAAATATATATATATTTATATATATTTGTATATAAATATATATATATTTATATATATTGGTTATATATATATATATATATATATATATATATATATATATATATATATATATATATATATATATATATATATATATATATATATATATATATATATATATATATATATATATATATATATATATATATATATATATTAGGGGTAGTCATTTTGAGGGAATTTTTGAAAATGAAGTCATACCCAGTAAAAGTCAAAATTGTCAAAATTATTTTTAGGTCAATCGAATAACTTTCAAATCCCCCTTAAGTTGTTAAGAAATTGTACTTCAAAAAAGAAAAATAGGGTGTGTTCAGAGTGCTTGAGGGGGATTTAAATGAAAAAATTATTTACATTTTTTTTTGTTATTTTTTATCTTTATTTTCATTTTAAAAAGGCATTTTATCTGTATTTTACATATTCTTGGTTAAAATGATATTTACGAAAGGAAAAAATGAAAACTTTATGTTATGCAAGAGGTTATGAAAATTCGCAACAAAAAAATTCTTCTAAAATAATGCAGAAGAAAATGTGCTGAAGATCCTGCACTGTGAAACTGCATTACATTATTTTATTTTTGTAAATAGTTTTCGTATTTACTTGATCGTTATTAATCGAATTACAATATAAAGTAAAAGTGTATTCTAGTGTTTAACTAATTATAGAACATTAAATCTATTCCCATTGAATTAAAAAACGGAAAAAAAAATTGTAAAAGATATTGGGAAGAGGGCATTTCTCAGATCAAGCAAAAATAAACTTTAAATGAGGCTAAACCAGCTATTACATATCTAGTTTAAAAAAAATTGTTTTGAATCTTAAATTTTTGTTAAAAATTAAAATAATTATTTTTTTTTCTTAAGGTCTTTAACTCCCTATTGGAATGGATATTCTTCAACACATTTCCAACAGAAGATCGCTACTTCCCCATAATATTAAAAAGTCAGCAATTTTATCATGCCCTCTTAACAAGATTCAGGGTTACAAGATATGTAAAGTAGATGATTGTGAATGCATTTTAGGCTTGATTAAGAGACCATGGCTTAAAGTGGGATTTCAAGTAATGTCAGATAATAATATTATCAAGAACCTATTGAAGATGGACAAGAAGTATTCAGATAGAATGTATTTGTATTCCTCTGCATTTGTTTCAGTAGAAATAAATACAGAGGAACAGCTAAAGACAAGGTTAATCAAGGGGAGTTTATTTCATTTTTGAAAAAGCTGTTTTGGATTGGTTCTACAGACTTAAAGAACCAAATTAGAAAGGATAAAATAAAGATAAGCAAGATGATTTAACCTTTTTGGAAGAACAGGAAGGACCAAGCCATTTCACTTTGGGATCAGATGATAGATAGATGATAAAAAGTTTTATGTTGTTTTTAGTGGGCTAATTTGACCTTTTTTATTAAAATTTGTTAATTTGACATACATTTTTTGTTAATACACATATACACTATGTTAAAACAAACTTTAGGTTTCTGAAGGTGTGAGGAAGAGGGCAAGGCTAGAAGACGAATCTCTTAAGATTGACGCTACCTCAGAACTAGACTTAATTTTCACTGACACTAAAGCTGATTCTGATTCAGAATTTGAACCCACAGTTTGGCATTACAGAAGAGCAGATGATTGTAACATTACTGCCTAAGTCCCTAATAATATTTTCGATAGAAATGTTAGATCTACCTTAGCTACAACGAATGTTATCTCACTTAATGTCTTATAAAAACTGAGCAATTCTTCTAGATTGTGGAGTTGATATGGCAAAATGCAAAGCCAGGCTTTAACAGCATTAAGGAAGATAAAAAAAACTCCAGAGGATACTGCAGAAAATACTATATTAGATATAAAAAAGCTGTTATCCCTCTATAAATCATTTTGATGGAAAGATTTTGTTTGAAATGAATCAGGAAAAAAGACTAAAGAATGAAAGATTAGCTGTGCTTGTTAACATTGAGGGGTAGTCACATCTTCTTGTAGTACCTGCCTTGCTGTCTTCTTCAGGTGAAGATATATATATATGTAGGAATCATGAAAAAACTAGAAGAATATGACCTCATTTCAAAAGTATGTCGAGTATGCTTTGATACAACTTCAAGTAATACTGGTTCTAAAAAAGGATCACTTATTAGGATTGCAAGAGAGGTAGACAAATACCTTCTTCTACTAGCATGTAGGCATCAAATCATTGAGCTTAGAATGGTTCATTTCTGTGATGCAGTGATAAAGAGAATAGCATAGAGCCTGAAAATCCCCTATTTGTAAAGTTCAAACATGTTTGAGGACCCTAAATTCGAAAAAATAACCTGACCTCTTTTGATTGACGAACCATGGAAGGAACAGTTATGAAGGAAGCTGCAAGGCAAAATTTAGATTAATGTGAGATCTATATTACTCAAAAATGCAATATGAGAAATAACCAAAGAGAGTTGGCTGAACTAACCATGCAGTATTTATCCCCTTCTGCACACTTTAAATTAAAGAAAAAAGGAGCTGTTCATTATGCTAGGTTTTTAGACAAGAGTTTATATTACCTTAAACTTCAGCTTTTGTGCAAGCAACTGACATTTGTGCAAGAAAATAATAACCTACGCGAAGATTTAAAATTCATCTGTAAGTTCATAGTATGTTTTTACACAAGGTGGTATCTTCAAGCACATAAAGCGATTCAATCTCCTGCGTTTGATCTTGATGCAATCTTTCAGATGAAAGAGTATAAGAAATTTTGCTCCAATCCGGAGGCAGTTGATACTGTGTTAGCATCTCTTTATAAGCATAAATGGTATCTTGATATAACAATTGTTCCCTTGGCTCTTATGGATAAAAATATTTCTATGGATAAAAAAACAGCCATTGCAGATGCTTTGTTTTCCTTTCAAATATTGGATTCAGATTTTTTTAAACATAGAAGCAAAGATTGAAAAGATTAATATCATAAATAATATGAAGGTACCAACCCTTTCTCTTTTGGTTAATGAGTTTTCATATCTAATTTTTTCAATGATAAGGTTGGATAATCAGAGAATAAAAGACTGGTTGTCACAACCACCCCAATATTGGCACACTGAGTCCTTGTTTAAGAATTTTTTAAACTTTGCCAAAATGGCAATTGTTGTCAATGATCAATGGACAACAATTAACATTTTTCTCATCAATTGAAAAAAAGGTGGGGGTCTCCTATCCACCCTCATCGCTAAGACTGGTTAAGTTTCATGAAAACCTATAATTTAACAAAAAATTTTAAAATGGGTTCAATTTTTCCAGCTGTCCATTTGAATGAAGTTTAAGTATGAAAATACATAATTTGCTGATTGCATAACTTAAACTTTTCATTTTTTGATTTCTTAAATATTGTTTTAACCAAAAATAAGTAAAAAACATGATTATTTATTAGATATATATGTTTATATACAATTATATATATATATATATATATATATATATATATATATATATATATATATATATATATATATATATATATATATATAAACATATACCTAATTGTATATACATAACTATTAAAGTGTATACTTTTATATTATTATATATATAGTTTTGTATATTTAAGAGCGCTCAATAAATAAGCTATATAGCTTTTATAGTTACATAGCTATAACAACAATGAAACAAATAAAAATTACAATTTTAAATCAAAACACTCCCACAACAACTTTGAGAATGACTTTTCAAATTTCTCAACCTACAACTCAACCAAAAAACCTCAAAAATAGATCTAAGTAACCAAATAGAATGTCTAGCAAAATTACCAGCATTCATTACCTTGAAATATCATAAAGAAAATAATAAATCAAAACCAGTATGTTGTGAAGCCTGAAAGAAGCATTAATGTGAAATGGGAATCATAAGCAAAAGACTTTTAGACTTTTAGTCATAAACCTGTCATAAACTCATAAACCTGTTAATGACAACCTTCAATGATCTTCTATCATGAACCTTCTAATCTAAAACTTACAACACATCTTCTAATCTAAAACTCTTAAACACTTATTTAGACCACAAAACTCCTCAATCAAAGCATTTAACCAGCCCAAAAAACACTAAAAAATAGTGAATAGAAAAACAGCTCAAATATCATATTAAACTAAATCCACCCCAAAAGTATATATATATATATATATATATATATATATATATATATATATATATATATATATATATATATATATATATATATATATATATATATATATATATATATATATATATATATATATATATATATATATATATATATATATATATATATATATATATATATATATATATATATATATATATAATTAAAAGTGAAAAAAAAAACTTTTATTATGGAACTTTAAGTTTCATGCCTAACGGCAATCATCAGCCATATCTTGAAACTTAAAGTTCCATAATAAAAGTTTTTTGTTTTTTTTCGTTTTTAATTATAAACCGCTCTGTTATGAAATTTATATATAATCAAAATAAATATCGTAATTATTGAGCACTTTTCAACGAACAAGAGTTGTGTATTGTGTATGTTTTGGTAAGTGCAGAAAGTGATCAAAAGCCCCTCATTCAATGACTCATGCAGTAGTTGCCCACAAGACAACCTCACACCATTCATTTTGTCATGAAAAATGACTGATAATTAGTTGCTACAATAATAGACTTTCCGGTGGCTTATGATAAAGTTCAGTGGACCATTACTAACAGTATTTTTTCTACTGATATATAAAAAGTAGTATATATTTAGAATATGATCTATAACTCCTGAGCTTTTAAAATATTTTTTTTTACCTGAAAAACAGCTAACATAGCCTTGGGAAAACTATCAAAGTTAGTCCGGGAACCTTGTATTCTTCGTGAAGCATGAAACCTAAAAATTATTATTAAAAACTGTTTATGGCTAAATTATAATGAAAAAAGCAATTTTTAATTAAATTTAATTTCAAATAACTTACTGGCCACCAAACAGCTGCATGCCAAGTAAAGCAAAAATAAAAATAAATAAAAGAAGAAGAAGAATCAAGCTAAGGATTGAGCGGATAGAGCTTCTCAATGATGAAATCATATTTTCCATTGAACTCCAAAATCTATAGAAAATAATTTATTAACAAATGCAAATTTCAGATATGTTTTTAAAACCAAACAGATTGTCTTTTTTACAAGACATTATGGTATTTTTTTATAAACCTTTTATTCAGAGTACACAGTGAGTTATTTTAATAACCTAGAAGAATATATTTATTTTTAAGCCTAATAATTTTGAACCTAGTATTTGACCTGAACAGCAGAAAGTCCATAATACTTCAAAGCTGAAACAGAATTATTTATGCAGATCTATCTTTGGCTTATTAGCTTCGATCTATCTTAACTAATTCGGCTGTTAAATAATTTTCTGAGCATATTTTTAAAGTTGTGGAACAACCTTGTCAAAAGTAATTTGATACCTTTAGTAATAGTGAATGTTGTACATTTAAAACTTCTAAATTGTTTTGTTTCAAAATAGTAATTGTCTCTTATTATTAATTTTTTCAGCTTTTAATGAATATCTTTTACTAAGTTGCTGAATTCTTACAAAAGTAACTTTTTATCAAATGATAAAGTTATTTTACATATTACATATAATATTATTATTAAGATAATTACATGATAATATGGTAGTTAAACTTTACACATTATATTAGTGATTCAAACCAATAAAACGTTCTGCACATATTAGTTCACTAATTGTTTACTGTTTATTGCAAAATGACTGCTTTTTAAAAATGGATTCTTTAATTTTAAAAATGAATTGTTTTAAACCCAAAAAGAATTTCAAGTTTGATGCAATTATTAGAAAAGTTATTGGAGAAATAAGAAACCTCAGATCACCTAAAGATCATCTAAAGTATTTAAAAAACAAAATTTCATCTATTACCGTAAAACGGGGTGAATAGAAACAATTTTCAACTTTGGTATGAAAATGTGCATACTTGTAGTTGTTCTAGATAAACAATTTTTTGCCCAAACACAGGTCTCTGTTAGGCCTATTTTTTTATAGTATTTAAATTTTTTAATTTTATTTGATTTTAAAGAAAAATATATAAAGCATGGTGTTTCTATTCACCCCGCAGATGGGGGTGAATAGAAACAGTACTTCAATTTCATGTGTTTTTCTATTGAAAAAAATTTAGGGTGAATTGAAACAGACAAATATGGATTTTTGGTCAATAAATGAATACAAATAAATTTATTTCTCAACATAATGATTTATTTGAGTACATAAACAAAAGAAGTTACATATAATGTGCCCTACGGTAAGAAAACAAATTGGAATAGTCCTCTTCATCTTCTGATTATATCTCCACACACTTTCGGCTTTTCTTTGGCTGAACCTGTTTAGTACCTGAGGTACCTGGGTTTTGGCCAGTAGAACGTGAAGTTTGGGGAATCTCATCGTCCACGACAAAGTCCTCAACACCAATACTTTTGCCAGGTTTCACATTTACTTTGGTCCTTTTTTGCCTTATCTTAGGAGTCTGATCATGACGCAGACTCTGAAGGAGCTCTTGGAAACTCCTGTCAACAGCTTCAGTGTTCTTTTGAATGTTTTCTAGATTCTGATTTTCCTCATCATCAATGATTTTTGGAAGCATAGACAGCACTTTGTTCCTGTTTAGAGGCGCTATACCGCACTTCTTAAAACCGCTGATCACATTTTCTTCCTTCAATGAATCACACAACTTTTTCAATAACGCGGGAAATTTGTCCTTAGGAACAGTTGCTTCTGCTCTTCCTGGGCCCTTTTTCCACTCTTCGAAAATCTGCCGCCATGTTGATTTCAATGGGCGAAAAAAGGCTACGTCTAGAGGTTGTGTGAGATGGGTAGAGTTAGCTGGGAGAAAAATAAAACTGATATCATTGTCTTTACACAACTTCACAGATTCCATTGATAAGTGGGAAGACAAATTGTCCCCAATCAGAATTTTTCGACCCGTTTTGTTTTTCAGGTACGGAAGAGCAACTGTCAGTACCCAATCTTCAAAGCAAAAAGAATCGAACCAGCCAGACTTTGTTCAATTGTACTTGGCGTTTTTTGGCCCACCTTCTGTCCAGCTTTGGTACAAGTGCATAGCCTTATACACAACGTAAGGTGGTAAAATAGTGCCATCAGCAGCGGCTGCAAACATCACAGACGTAGATGACTTTGATGAGTTTATGACTCTTTCTGGATATTTTGTCCCTCTACGTATAATGACCTTTCGCTTACCAGGGTCATCACTTAGATTCGTCTCATCGTAGTTAACGATATTAGATAAAGGCACACCCTTTAATTCATTTTTCAGTTCATCAAAACAGTGGTTAATTGTTTCTGGTGTTACACCAGCCCTCGAGCGTTTAATATTCTGACACATTCTCACGGCCAGTTGTTCCTTATGACGTTTTATAAATGATTCCACAAAGTCACGGCCGGGTAGGTTATCTTTAAACCTCTTAACTTCTTTCCCTCTCCGGTCTAAAAAGTCTTTTACAAGGAGTCGTAGAGTTGTAGTGTTAAAGGGATAACCCCATTTGCCACATATCTTAAGCCTATCAACAAAGCTGTTCTTCTTCAAGAGATAATGCTGTCTGACCACCATGTTTCTTCAAATTTGGACCTCTTTTCACGTGTCGATAAAGAACACTATAATGCAAACCATGTTTTTCAGCAGACTTTTGAAGGCTTAATCCATTCTGTATGTCAGAAATTGCTCTTTCGATTGTTTTTGGATCGTGCTTTTTGTAGCCACCTCCAACCACGTGTTTGTACTTCCTTGGCATTTTACAGGGTTCTGAAATAAAACAGCTGTGTCAGTTAAGTGTCTAACATAAATATATAGTATACAGTATGTATTTTATACAGTATAAACGTAATTTAGAATTACTTTTTTATTGCAGGGTGTAAAGAAACACTAGAAATTATATGTTTCTATTCACCCCGTCAATTCTGAAAACCTAACCTAAAAAATTCGAATAATTATTAAAATAATATTGTTACAGTTAAAGCTTAAAGTTAGCCTAACACTTTTATATGAATAATTAAACAATGTTTTGTACAGCTATTTACTTTCAAGAACACTGAGTATTCCGACTTACCTGGAAAGTTCAAAGTGAATAAAAAAAAACAAGAATTGCGCGGTAAAATTCAACATGAAAAACAAACAAGAACCATTGCTGCTAAATAAGCAAACCATTATTTCACTTTCAGGCTAAAGTGTAGCAACCTAAAAAAATTATAAGTTGCCATTATTTACTCATAGTTATGTAGTAAATAGATTATATATACAAAAATGAAGTTTTGTTTCTATTCACCCCACTGTTTCTATTCACCCCGTTTTACAGTATTAGAGAAGAAATGGACAAAAAAAAAAAAGACATAAACAGCACTTCCTGGACACCAATTTTAATTGGATAAGTAAAAATATTGTATCTGCTGATCCTGTATTATCTTACTGTAGAGTTAGAGAACTTTTATTATGTTAATCTAAAAGAGTTATGAGTACAGAAACACCTACAGAACACCTCGAAAAGCTCTTATTGATCACACACCCTTTTTTTTTACTTTTATCAAATTCAAGTAATCAGCAAAAAAGTACAATTACGTACATATGATAAAAATGGCATCATTATGGGAATGCAGTGGAAGCAGAAGTAATATATACTAAGGTTTTGAGTTTAACCAATGAACTTTATTAAACTATTACTAAACCCATAATTTTGAAAAACCAACTTTTATCTACCAGGTATTTATGGTACACAAAATTAGATCTTAAATTAAAGGCGAGTTTCCACTTATCCGCTTTTTTACGGGAACGAGATAGGAAAGGAAAAAATAATCACATGACCATGCGTAATAAAAGTTTTTTTTTGTCTGAAAGAAAACTGCGCATGCTTATGTGATGATTTTTCCGTTCCCTTTCCCTTTCCCATAGAAAAACAGATGAGTGGAAACTCGCCTTTAATTTAAGATCTAATTTACCTTAGTTTTATAATTTAAGATCTAAACCTTAATTTTTTTAAACAATCTTGATAAAAATAAAAAATAAAAAAATAAAAGATAAAAGTGTTTCATGTGTAAATTTTTAAGATCTAAGCTTGATCTTCATGTGCAAATTTTTGTATTTACAGCTCCTGTAGAGAAAAAAGAGATTCTTTAATTAGACTGTTGACAACAGCCACAAACAGCTTGTTAAACTAGATCTTTTCCCAAACTTATCAAGACCTAATATCTTAAATTTAGATTGAATCTCAATAATGATATTTTGAATTTGCATTTAAAAATTGTTAGATGTTTTCTCTACGCATTTCTTGCTTTGAGCATAATTTCATTATGAGCCAAACTTGTTAATCAAGAGAAAAATCAAACTTGACACACGATTTAATTTTATTATCATAATAAATTTTTTGAAACAATAAACAATGTATCAGGTGTATTGTTTAGAGTGACCTCTTCAAGTTTAAGACTTTTAAATTTGTTCATTTCAAACTATTTAGAAATAAAAACATAGCAAGCATGAGGGAAAAAAAGGGTGATAAAAAAAGAAAAAAAAAGGGTAAAAAAAAGAAAGAAAAAAAAAGTCCAGGAAAAGGTTTGATATGAATTAGGTCCAAACTTATGTGCCCAAGCAGCAAGCTGGTAGTACAAACAATGGAAACTCAAATCAAACTCAAAAAAGTCATTTGAAATAACAGCACATTTGACATTGGGAGTGCTCAAGAATTATTTATGCAGAAAACTGATTCATAAAATAAAATAAATAAATATTAAATATATATAAGAGCCTGGACCTACACATACAACAATATGAATTGCATGTTATGATAAAGCTCTATAACTTGTTTAAATTTAAGGGCAATTATAGAAACTTCATTTTTTTTTATTTGGATAATATTCTGAAGAGGCTAGAAAAAAAAAAAAAATTTCAGAGAAAAAATAATTAGGAAGACGTAACCAATAGACACAAATATAGATTTTTTAAACAGACTGGTAATAAGTTCAGATCCGGCTATAGCAAGTTTAGCTGTAATTAGGCATTTTTAAATAAATTCTGACTATACATAGTTTTATTAGAAAGTAAGCAAAGTGAAAAGGTTTTAATTCTGAGACATATTTAAAAACTCATTCAACATTCAACTAGTTGAGAAAACTTATTTTAACTGATCATTTGTATTTTCTTATTTAGTGGTGAAATACAAGATCTAAAATTCTTTAAAAATTCAAAATAAATTATATATATATATATATATATATATATATATATATATATATATATATATATATATATATATATATATATATATATATATATATATATATATATATATATATATATATATAAACAAAATATAATAAATAAATAATAGTACACATATTTAGTAAATATACTAAACAATATACTAAAACATAAAATACTTTAATCACTAATGTTTGCAAAGTTAAAGATATGAAACCTAGTCAATTTGAATATTCGAAGAAGTCGTATTGATCGCAAGACACTAATTCCTATACTATTGGAGCTATAAAACCAATTGTAAGCTAGGTCAGCAGTACTCAACCAAACAACCTATAAAATTATCTATATGCATAACCAGCCATACATAACCAAAAAAACTATAAAATTATTTATAAGATTAAAATTATATATATATAATATATATATATATATATATATATATATATATATATATATATATATATATATATATATATATATATGAATTTAAAAACTATAAAATTGTTTATAAGATTAAATTTATATATATATATATATATATATATATATATATATATATATATATATATATATAAATTTAAAACTATAAAATTATTTATAAGATTAAATTTATATATATATATATATATATATAAATTTAAAAACTATAAAATTATTTATAAGATTAAATTTATATATATATATATATATATATATAAATTTAAAAACTATAAAATTATTTATAAGATTAAATTTATATATATATATATAATATATATATATATATATATATATATATATATATATATATATATATATATATATATATATATATATATATATATATATATAT